TCCCCTCGTTGTCATGCCAATGAGGCCTTTCAATGACCCTGGACTACACCACACATGCACAAGGATTACATTTTTTGATGACATTGTGGATTTTTCTGAATTTTTTTGGTGTTGTTTTGTGTGTGTGTGTGTGCGTGCGTGCACGCACATTCATGACGGGCTCAAAGGCAAACTTGAATGCAACAAAAAATGTCCGTCAATAACGTTCACAGATCCCATTTTCGCACGGAATAACTGAAACAATTTTTCAATTCGTTCGAGTGAGCGATGATCACTTAACGTCACTGTCACAACGTAAAACAAAAATAAACACATTCGTCAATAAAACATTTGCTTGATAAAAAAATATATATACAATAGGCGACATTTCGGGCATTGCCTCATCCTCATAGCACGTGAATTGAGTGGCCAGAGGAGACAGAGTTCATAAGAGTTGGAGACAGCGCATAACGTCATGGGGTCTTATGAGAATTATATTTTTGAAACGTTTTCTGATGACCCTCGTGTTTAAATAGGCATACGAACAGTTACACTCACAGTAGCTAATGAGTAACGCACTCCGTGAACGATCAAAACGTACCACTAAATAAAATCTCTAAATATTTATATCACATCGTCAAAACGTTTTCACATGCAGGGGGAGCGCACGCTTTATACACATGGTGCCCTGGTATAAAATACGCACACGTCAAGCGGCATCGCGGCTTGCCGAGATGCCGCTTGGCGCTGCAATGCGTTCGTATTCGTGTTACATAACTTGACCTGCTATCTCTCGCACGGCTATTAGGCACGAATCCCACACCTCTCCAAGCTGCTCCCATTTAGCCAGCCCCATCGAAAGGACTGCAGCGCAATTCATGCATTTCCACGAAGGTGGTTCACTTTGCACGACTGACAAATTTTAAACATTTATATTTGCCGGTCGTTTTCCCACAAAAAAAATTAACAGAAAGACATTCTTCCCTTGACCTGTGAATCGTGCTCCGTCTAAGCAAATCGTGCACCTCTGCATCCCAACACTTGTAAGCAGTGGCGGTGTTTACAGCATTATACCAACCAGAGGGTCAAATCGGACTTTCAAAGACTTTCGGCGGGCCACAAATGATCACACGCCTCGGTCACTTCTATAGGTCCTGGCAATGGCAGCAGTGACCGGGCGTGCTAATATCAGAAACACGGTGGCGCCAGGTGAAATCTATCCCCCGCTAATGGTAGTTCCCAAGTAGTGCCGCCAAGATGCTTAGTGCCGCCAAGTGGTGGGCCTCATCTGGCCACGGACCGTGTGTATTTATGCTGAACTTCTTTTGCACCATACGTAGCCAACTGCGCTAATCGGAGGTGTGGGATTAGAAATGCACCGATTATGGATTAGCGGGTAGAGTTCCAGCGTACCCGTGCCGTAGGTTCTCCACCCCGGTTCTAAATCCAAACCATTCCGTCGTGCGGGGGGGGGGGGGGTAGTACCTCACTTGCACGTCCCTTCACCCGCGAGGTCGAAATCTTTGGCCTCTTTGGCACCGCCCGAAGCTCGAGTCGCGGCCACTCGCACCGTCCTGTGTGTGCAACGCTTGCCTAGGGAGAGGCAGCAGCAGGCATGCAGAGTTACCCCAACGCCAGTGGTACAAGCAACCTGCGCACGGTCAGTGGAGGGGCGCATTAGCCAAAGTGACCTGCACACAAGTTACTCTGGATAAGCACGGCGCGAGCTTTCACTTTAAGCCGACCTCTCAGAATGGAACTCGTAACTGATTTGCTGCACCTCAATTGGACATAATACGGTCTCATTGTGTATAGCAAGCCATGGGGATCGCATGTCCATTTTACCAATTGCCAAACACCACTGTGCATTGTTGTGGGTTAACACTAAAGCGAGTGTCCACTTTTGATTAGTAGGGTAACCGCCATTTGATTTGCTATCAGCGAGATTATGGATCGCTGATAATAGTGCAGAGCCCTGTTTGATGAGCTTTTACAAACAGTGCCCAACACGGTCGTAGGTAGTGGCAGTCACTAATTGCAGTCACTAATTGCAGTCACTAATTGCAGGCGCGATACGAGGAGGTGACCATGCACAGCGCAACTTGGCTTCCAGTGGCTGACGAGGCCTGACCTTCGCACGGGCGGCTGCAGATGTCACATTCCGATTAATGAGCACGGGGAAGGGCTCTTCAACAAATGGAGATATAGGATTGTTTTTGGGCTTCACTGGGATCCTTGGCTGGCCGGGGTGAATGAACGTTGTTTTTGGGGTTGTTTTTTTTTACTGCACAGATTAACTCGGAAATTTGACGAGTACTGAAAACCAACGATGACTTTAAACGGTATTTCTCTCAAGACTTTTTGAACAAGTTGGTGGAATCAAAGAGTACATCATCACGTGGACTGTGAAACTGAAAACAATGTAGAGTAAATGTGATTAAAAACACATAAATTACAACTTGCACACTGGCTACTTAGGTGGCAGTCTAAAAAGTAAAATGGGTTCGCTTCTCCTTCTAGTATTACTGGCATTATCGATTAAATGACTTCCTTAACTAGGTGAGATCCCATTGAGCTTCTTGTAAACGATTGTCATCGGCAGTTCAATACAGTACACTGCCCGTGGCCACGTGTTTTGGCGATTGCCTTGTACAAATTACTGTGAGGTCGTGGGAATCAAATTTGAAATGTTCCAGTGAAGGGCGCACTGACCGTGATGTCTGGCCCTCGCAGACATCATGGTGGACTATAGAGGATATGTTAAAGACTCCTCTGCAGCGCATGAGAGCGTCCTGTGTTGACATCACGGGGACAAGCTGTACACAAGTTGGTGCACTGATCTGTGAAGACGTCAGTTCAGGTCATTTGCATGAACAGACTACATGTACAATTATCCATGTACACTGCGGTGTTAATATTCACAATAAAAAACTGTAAATCAGACGATGGCCAAACTTAAAAAAATTATTTAATACACAGTAGGTAACACACGTATATGGGTAATGTGTAATCACCAAATATGACCACGAATGCACTACAAGGATGTACATGATCAAAGTAGAATATACTTTCATTCCATTACTAGTCTATTGTGTACATGTTCTGTTTATAAATAGTAATTCGTTGTAGCCTGGTGGAAGTTTCCCCTGGCCAGATATATACGATAATCTCGGCAGAGAGAGGCCACCTCTCATGGTATACGTGGACTAAATAGTAAACATAGCTCGGATGGTTCAGCCCACGTCACGACAAAATGCAGTCGAATGCCTCGTCTATGTTTTTACTAGGCATTTCGACCGCGGAACAGAGAGAACCCGACGCAAAAATTAGCACGCACGGGATGGCGCCACAAGTCTCAAACGCCAGCCCAGCAATTTATTCCCGGCCGCTATCCTTCAACGAGCACCGCAGCGGCTTGCGATGCAAGAAAGCCCCAACCCCGAGTTGGATGACTTCTTGAAACTTAACCCGGGAAGTAAACGCTGCTCGGCGCGAGCCTCGATGTACATCGGCACCGATCATGCAGTGGCAAACGATGCTCGCATTGCCTTTGTGAGGATCCACAATGCCCCTTACGTACCCAAGAAAGCTTCGCTAAGACTCGAGACTTTTCCAGGGGGGGGAGTTTCTGCATCGGAACTTTTGATAAATACTGGTTAACGGGCGTTTTGCTTCACGTGGAAGGAAATCAGAGCAACCGGAGAATACCTACACAGTTGAGGGAGTGATGCTGAGCACAGCCATCTCCTGGACACTACAACATCTGCCAAGCCCTGGTGATCACCCATCCATGTACTAACCAGGCTCAAGTCTGCTTAGCTTCCAAGATCTGAATAAATGAAGTGCATTTACAGCAATTTGGTACGACGCTGCATTTCATGACTGCGGTGCCTGGGAACAACAACACGGAGCGATTGTGAACATCTCTCAACAATATGCAAATCCACTGCTGGATAAAGGCCGCCCGTATGTTGGTCATAGGTACTATATTTAACACGGAGGCTTTCGCGACCAATATTATCCGTAATAGTTTATGGGTTAGATCGCATAAATATAAATGTCGTTAAACCCGCCAGCACCCGACACAGTCAATCGGTACGGGTTGTCACGTAAACAGAACGTGGCAATTCGTTACGAGTTCAGCAGTGTGTTGTAGAGTAAAATCCACATTGTCAATTCTAAGGCACCGTATTGTTGGACCGTACTACACCATAATAGTGAGTGCGGCTTGGTAAAGTTGGCGGGCATGCGCCATTGCTGGGAACTGAACTTAGGTCACTGGAATTTGTAGCGCAGCGTGCGAACCGCTGTGCCACCGTTCCTCCTCAACGAGCTACTCCCACGTGAACATAGCGTACGGGAGGCATGCACGTTGTTTACGTATTGCACACAGCGGGCAGACTGCACGAAAAAGAACTAAGTGACACATGTTAACGCACAGCGGGAGTCAACCTACGGTGACTGGCCCTCATATTTGGAATGTGGAATTTCCACTGCTGACTCAGGGCTATCAATGGAGAAAATGCCATGCCAACGCACTTCGTCGGGAAGAGACTATTGTATACGCATATGTAAACCGTTAAATCTGTTGTGCAATAGCACTTATTTTAATGTAATATCCTGAGCGACCCCCTCCTGGGGGTCTTCCAATTCAGCGAGGCTTCCTTGGATAATATACTGTACAGCAAGCGTATATATTTGGTACACCTCGTTGTAGATTTTGCATACATGTGCGTCTTGTAAGGGAAATAAAAGACCGCTTTGGCACTTCCACAGGGTCACAGCGAGACCCACTTGAGGCTGTAATCGCTCGTGTGTGCGCACTCACGTCCAGGGCCTGTGAACCACGGTCAAACCTGGACGCACCCGCCCTGCCCCTGGCTGGGACACACACCGAGCCCTTGCGGAGGCTCATATAGCTGAAAACGTTGGGCCCTTCTCACCGCTGTGCTCCCTTTGCCAGCATACACCGGTTCCGTACGCTCTCCCTGACTCAAACAAAAAGCGGCAAGACACTAACATTGGTTATCAGTGCAGTGTATTTTTTTTGTATCTTTGCAAAGACTGGCCAAACGTCTGTAAGTCGTAAAAACACAATATTTACGATACATGCAGAAGTCCTTGATGCAAGTATGCATGTACATACGATATCTTATGCCAACATTGAACAATGGGGTCAGCGGACAAAACCAACTGCAGAGGACATCGACAGAAGCACCAACATCCTGCAAGAAAGCAATTGTCATTACGGTTGACTTCAAAAAGTATTTACCGATGAAAAGGCTCCATGGCTTATCGTTTAAAACAAAAAAAACTAGCAGATAAGGTGCACTGGTTTTTTGTTGCAGCAGAGGTTTACCAAGGTTTGAGACAGACATTTTCTTTAGATTGCATTCGTGCTTTTTGAGTTAGCCCTTTGGTTCTAAAACGGCACAATTATTTTTCAGAACCAGAAATCAATGACACCAGTGTGAGCATAATCACACTGGGCTTCACCAGCAGTCAGGCTTAGGTCAATCCATTTTCCCATACCTAGTTTTACATGACGAGTAGAAGAAATTTAATCGGGAATTAACTTCAAGATTAATAGCATCTTATGACGAATCTCATACGCCATCGCCGGCCGGAAATTTGTCTGTGAGGATCCAAGTTATAGTTTAGTTTTTTTTCAATTAAACCGCTATCAGCCTTGTAAATATTTGACGACAAAATATGCCAACACTCTTGACCTGAGGAACAGGGAAAGAGAATGGAGTCGTTGGCTCCAAGCTATTTCCTGCTGAATACACGATACAGGAATGCAACGCGCTGATTTCATTACTGAAAATGTTTTAGCGACTGTAAATTAACGAGGGTTTAAAGTCCCCGTTACAAATGAAGGGGGTCACAATGAATGGCACATTAAAGTCATTAAAATTGCGTCACTTCCAATGAAATATCACTACCAGGGTATGAAAACAGGTCAGTAATTTTTCTGCGAGGATTTCAATATTCGTATAAAACATGTCATTTTTCCCTCTCTGGATCTTTAATCATGCGAATCAATGAAATAATTTATTACCATTTTCCAATTCAAAATCACTTCTGCTCGCCATTATTTGTCTTCATCCGAGACAAATATAAAAACTGATCATGTCAAGGTTTCTTTTCTTCCAAAAAGTGCCAAGGGTACAACAAATTGTGTGGGTTTCACCAGTGCACGAAACACACATTCAACAACTTTAACTCAAAGCATCGACAGTTTTAACAAGCGTTGGAAAAGAAGATTTGGGTTAAACCACGAAAATGCTGTACAGTACTGATTATAATCTCCCCCTTTTTATTTTGCTTAGATCACACACAGGCACGTCCAGCTTGCGTTGAAAACTGCAGAAGGTGCATGCGCCTCACACAGACCGATGACGAAAATAGGGTTTGGTGTGTATTCTTTTTTAATAAAAAATAGCAGCATATAATCAGAACTTTCTTTCCACTGCTGCCTTCTCCATGGGCCTTTCAGGATTACAAGAATCACAATAATGGACTAGATTATGAAACCACCTTTTATATACTTTGTTTTTTTAAGCTTTTTTTTTTGTTTAATGGTCACACACCTGTACGCACACAAGATCACCCCACGGTAACACAAAGGTCGGGGATGCAATGCACTCTCATCATCAATCAGCCGTACAAATTTTCAAACGAAACAATCGAAATGAAAAAAAACCGCAGAAAACCACCTTCTACTTACTCAATGCAACCAAAAAGCAGTACAGCAAAATGCAACCTCTCCCAGGGACAGTCTACAACCAGGGGGTGGGCGTTATATGCAGTCGTTGCCATCTGCACCACCAAAGCAATGCCCCCCCCCCACCTCCCCAAAAAAAAAAAGGCCACTTGAAGCTTTGCCAAAGCCATCCGTGGTCCCTGTCAGCCGTTTTAATGCAAACATATTTAGCACCATGGTTGTATTATATTATAACACAGTGGCAAGCCGAATCGGCGTCAATGCACGAGACAAGCTGATCGCCCCCTGCTTATTAATCGATTGCAGCCCGAGTCTGGTCCAGTTAACTGTCAAGGAGAGAAAAAAATAACCCCCCCCTCATAATCATAATAACAACCCAGTAGTGCACTCCTAACTTGTGATGGGTTCAACAAAAAAAATTATATTGCATCTCTTTTCACTCGTGACACAACTGGGATGTGCACCTCGCGGGGAAAAAATAACATCTAAATGACCGTAACCAATTTGTTTTGTATCCGTTGATAAATGCACCTTTTTTTTTCCTCTCTCTCTCTACGGATGTGGGAAATGTGTTGTGTTCATCACCGTTGCTTTTTGGACAGATGGGGTTAACTGTGCATTGTGGTACGACTGTCATAGAGCATCCACCCCATCCAAATCATAACCTACGGTCAACGAAAGCCTCGGCGTATTCAAGGTTATTTTGCATTTAAATTTAGACCGTGGACTGCAATTATAATTTTTTGTGTTTTTTTTTAATGCAAAACTAAAAATAGTTTCAAACTTTTATGCAATATTTTTTTTAAAATATTCCTCAAATCTCTGTTGTGCTACATTCCAAAAGGAAAAAAGCCTCAATTGTAGACTTCATTACACATATAATTATGTATATAATCTCATGTTCTCTTTTCATCTGCAAATATTCAATTGCTCTTACATTTACAGTACAAAATTTTATTTTAGGGAAATAAAACGCTTAGTACAAGAAATGTTATATTTCTTTTTTGTCAAGTAGGAAAAACACAGTTCTTATCAACGTCTTACTTAAGTATATAGCAGCTGTTACCGATGCGTGTGGCTTGCTAGACAGCGGAGCTAGAGACCAGAGGTGGATACACATTTTGCAATGACCTATTTTTGTTGTATATATTTCAACTGATTTAAATGCAGATGGATGGGTGGGTTACAGCTCTACGAGTGGTTTTCGTCAAATTCGTTGCTGCTGACTGTTGAGAGTTGTAGTTTTACCTATCAATTGAATAGTCTAAGTCTGGAACAGTTCAAGTGCCGGCATTTTTTTGTGTAATTTTTCGTTTTTTTATATTTTTTTTGTTATTTCCTTAATATATTTTTTTTCTTTAATAAACTCAAGTGATGACGGATCTGCTAGGCTAAACAGTCCCGGGGCAAAGAGGGGCCTGGGGGAAGGGAAAGTATAGGTGCCTTGGGGGTGTTGGGTAGGTTAAGTAACGGGGCCTTTAGGGGGAAAAAAAGCCTCTCCACTGGGAGAGAGAGGTAGGGAGCGTGGGTTGAGGAAAAAGGCCAAAGTTGACTTCTAATTCAGCCAAATACTTATTCCAACAAGAGGTCACAAGCCGGCGTCTTAGCGGAGGACAAAATTGGCTACATTTGGAGCCCCAAGGGTTAAATTTGGACCTTTTTGACTCTCCGAATATGTAGCAGCAGATTCGGCCTCCTGTTCTGCAAGCGAAGGTTGAGGTGCCAAATAAGAAGCCAGCTTTCGTGCCTCGCATGAGAATAAGGTTTGGTGGCGGACTTAAGGAGCCAACTGCAGTCTTGTCCAAGGCGGCCGAATAAAAAGCCAAATTGGCCTCTCATTCGCACAAGGTGGTAACGGCAGCCTAATACGAAGCCAACTTCGGCTTCTTAGACTCGAATAAGGTGGCCGACTACAAAGCCATCTTCGGCCTCAAGGTTAAGGGCAGGGGAGGGGAAAGTGAGAGTCTCGGAGAGAAAGTGAGAGCTATTGGGAAAGTTGTAGTGGTGTAAAGGGGTGTCGCGGTTGAGCAGGGCGGATATGGGACTAAATATTGAGGTGGATTACAGGTGACGAGGGAAGTGAGAGAATTAGGCACGCTCGTTGTCGAAGTGTGCCCAGGGTGTTACAAGCAGGGAGACACGCACTCGTAATACAGTATTGAGAGGTTGGGTGCCATCGACGAGAGGGGTGAGAAAGTGACAACCTTACCAGAGTGAATCGGGGTGATACAAGCGGGCAGAATGACACAGACACGCGATGTTGGAAACGTGTGCTGGAGTTTAGCGTTAGCAGCATTTTATGTTGTGGCTATGCGAATTGCTGGGGGCAGCGAGTTGGGTAGGCGATTAGATTGTGTGGGTGAGTTTGGAGTTATGCTGGATGGGTAGATTTCGAGTGGGGTTGGGTGAGCATTAAGTTCAAAGGGCATGGGCAGGTTTCGTTAGATGTTTTGAATTTGTCTGGAGATGGGTGGGTTTGGTTTTGTATGTATTTAGAGTGGAATGACAAGGTGGGTTTAGAATGGGAAAGAGCCCAACACGTTTAGAGTCGAGTGTGTTTACAGTGGGAAAAAGCTGTGTATGGGTCGGGTTTTATGGATTTTGAGCGGGAGGTAACCTTAGACGCGTTCGTGATTTGTGGGATTATAGTGTCTGCGAGTTGGATGGAATTCTGGAGAGGTGGTGTTAAGAGTGGGAAGGAGCTGGGGGAGGGGTTAGTGGAAAGAAACTAGTACTTAGCACGAGGTCAGTTTCGAGTGGGAGGAAACTTGGTGAGTGTAAGATCGCATGAGATTAAGAGCGTGAAGGGGTTGGGTTAGGGTTTAGCGTGAGGTGGGTTTCGATCTGGAACTGGGTAGGTTTACAGTAGGACGAGTTTAGTAGAGTGCGAGTTTAATTGATTAACGATAGAGCCGGGTATATCTGCTTAAGTAGGTGGAGTTGACAATCGCGAGGGTGGTGGTGAACTCAGAGTGGGTGTACACGTCTGGGTGGCGGCTTTAAACTTCGGCGTGAACCAGGAGTGAGGCTGAGGGAGGTGGTGGTGGAGGAGACTGAGGGCGAGGTGGTGGCGGAAAGTGGGGACGAGACAAGGGAGGCAGGGCACGGTCACCACCGAGTCAATCCTCCTCTCCATCATCATCGCCTGCCTCCTCCTCTTCCTCCTGGGGCAGATGCTCGGCTCTCTTCTCGCGCTGCTTGTCGTGGATTTTGCGCATCTCGTCGGCGTAGCGGCTGAACGTGGCGCCGAACTTGGCCCACGCCTTGAGGGGCACCGTGATGGAGTTGCGGTAGCTGGGCTTCACCTCGCTCACCCGCATGAACACGCCGTACTTGTTGGAGCCCACGTCGAAGAAGAAGCGCTTGTTGTCCACCGTCACCGCCGTGCCCTCGGGCAGCTCCGCCAGCTCCTCGTCCACGCCGAAGTCGTCGATGAGCTTGGCGAGCGCGTCTCGGAACTCGATCATCCCCTGCGCCGGCAGGGCGATGGTCTGCCCCTGGGCCCCGAGACCGGGGCCCCGGCTCACGGTCTGACGGACGCGCAGGAAACGGCCGCGCTGGTTCTCCTTGAGGTCCATGTAGTACTTTCTGTTCTCGCGCACCAGGAACTCGCTCTTGAGTGCGCGGCGTGGCTCGTCCGGCTGCTGCTGCTGCAGCTGCTGCTGCTGGTGGTGGTGATGGTGGAGCGAGTCGCCTCCGATGCCGCTGCCGCCGCCGCCGCCACCGCTTCCTCCTCCACCCATGCCAGAGCTGGGCCCGAGCTGCGCGTAGTGCTCGATGAAGTCGCCCAGGTAGTCTCGGAATTCGACGGCCACGGACATGGAGAGCGTGAGGCGGCTCTTGCTGCCGCCCGCGCCAACCTCGGCGATCTTGAGGAAGCGGCCCTTGGCGTTCTGCTTCACGTCCAGGTAGAAGCGCTTGTTCTGGATGTCGACGCGCTTTGACGCCAGCTCCTGCGTCTCCTGCTGCTGCTGCTGCATCATCATGCCGCCTCCCGACGAGGACGCGGCGCCCGCGCCGGCAACAAGGCCGCCGCCCGTCGCCCCCTGCTCGCTGCCACTGTCCCTGTCCGCCATCATCATTGCCTTCTTCCCAAGCCCCTCCCCTCGCAACCCCCCCTCCCCGCTGCCCCCCCTCCCGAGCCCCGCCCCTCGGACAACTCCGTGTCACTCGGCTCACGATTGGTCGACGGCGCCGCGAGCTCGGCGGCTGGACCAATGGCCGTTGAGCTTTCAAAGGGGCGCGTGACGGTTTGGCGGAGGGGCGGAGACGAACCCCGGGGGGGGTGGGAAGGGGAGGGGCTTATTTTACCCCCCCTCCCCGCGGACTCTCAACTTGCTTAAAACGACGAATCGGTGCGACGGTTAGTGCCGACGTGTATAGACGACGCTTCCCATTGGTCGGTGGCACCGCGTTTGGGTGACGTCGGAACGGTTCAGAACCAATCGTAGCGCGCGGCTTTGAGAGCGAGGCGCCACTTTTTTTTATTTCTCTCCACACCGGCCAACCCCTCCCCCTCAACCACAAGGACCCCAATAGGGGGCGGGCGCCTTTACATAACGCAACTTACAATTGGCCGGAGCAGGCACGCGCGGTCGTGACGTAAGGCCCGCAACACGACACCAATCACGAGAGGCGATGTTGGCGACGTCATCCCCCCCCCCTTCATAACCCATCCCCCCGTGCTTCAAGATACACCCGCTGCGATTGGTCCAATTAGGTTACCGTTTGACGTCACGCCGGGGGGGGGGGTGGCGGGGGGGGGCTGTATGTGTGGGGGGATAAGTTTCGTCCAATCAGAGCGAGGCTTTTGCAACCGGAGCCGGAGAATCGAAGCGGCGGGAGGCGGGGCATTGAAATTTGCTCAGCGGTGGATGAGGAATAGCTCCCCCCCCCCTCGCATCACGTGGGTTGTTAGCGCCCCGCCCCCATCGCCCCCCACCCCTCCCTTTCAATATGTAAATGAGGCGAAGCGCACGCGTGCGTTGTGGGAAGTGCAATGAGAAGCTCCGCGGGGGTCACGTGACGTCTGCTCCGGCGGGTCAGAGCCTCATTTGCATACGAGACTGCAGTGACCGAGGCAACCCCCCCCCTCTCTCTCCCATCTTCTCTCGCTGCTATGCACTTAACAAGGGCATTGCAATGCAAAAGCTGCATTGCAATTGCTGGACGGTGGATTTGACTCCTTCGCCTTTCGTATGGCTGATGTAGACGCAGAGCGACAAACGGCAATTTGACATTTCGGGCGGTCTAGGCCGGATGGTAACCGCGTTGAGGGAGGGTTAGCGGAGTTGTCATCGTCGCTTGTGATGTCTCCTTCGTATTTGTGGATCGGGACATTACGTCGTTACTTTGTGTGCTGTATGGTCTGTTCGGACCGACTGGACTGACCCACGAGGTGCAATGAGTCAACGCAGCTTACAAGTCTGGACCGTCACCTGATGAAGCTAGTTGTAATTACTGGCGAAACGTCGTTCTCCGATTGTAAATGTTGTAGCTTTGCTCTCCCAACACACCGGTGTTGCTGTACTAGTATGCGAATTGGCACGTTCTGTTTACGTGATAAACCTTACTAATTGGCTGTGTGGTGGTGGCGGGTTTAACGACATTTACTCGATCTAACCCCAATAAACCTGTACTATGGAGCTTACCTACCACTTGACTTTGAAAAGTTGCTTTTGTTTCTGTAATCTCTGCGACACCTTTGACTCCTGTCAGCGGCATTTTCAGTTCTTAGCAACAAGAGGTCATTTGAGGTCACGTCTAAGGGTAGTGCGAAAAATCTGTGGCATTGGTACCTTGATACGCCTTGACTTCGCCAACCCGCACTACACGACCAGCAGCGTTGCGCGCTGAGCTGTGTTCAAATCGGTGTAGGGGGCTCTCATCCAGCAGTGGATTTCAAGGAAGGCCCGGGTCACAAGCCAACTCTGGTACAGCAAAGAAAGGAGTTACGTTAGCAGCAATCCGATATAAATACATGTATAGTGGATTCAACTGAGTGGCAGATGTACTTCTTGGAGGCAACACATTTATTAACACCAACACATAACACAAAGGGGTTACTGCCCTTTAACCAGATAACCTATGGTGGTGGACCACTAGGCTAACTACGCTAGTTACTGGGAGTAGCTGCAACGGACAGGACCCTAGCTGGGGTCCTCGTCCACGTGTTGGTGACTTCTTCTTGGACGTAGATCGGAGATCTTCAGATGACGATAGCAACGCTGAACCTCGGTCCCTGTGCAGACCCCGGTTTATATGCTGCTGGGTCATGGCTGGGCCCCTGCCTTTGGCCACGACCACCTTCGAGAAACCTCTTGTCGTTTCTCGACCCTTCCCGTAGGATCTTACCCTGACACGTGACCACCCCCAAGGCCCCACCTTGGGGCCCTTGTGTACATCTTACTGGTCACGTGCCTTCCAGGATCAATCAGAGTGCCATGGCCTAGGGCAGGGGTGGGGAACCTTCTTTCTGCCAAGGGCCATTTGGATATTTATAACAACATTCGCGGGCCATACAAAATTATCAACTTAAAAAGTTAGCCTGTTATATATGGCCAAACATTTAATTAACTCACCCCTAATGTGATGGCTGGAACTGCTTCTCTTTGGTGAGGCGTGTGATGATGTTAGCTGGTATTGACGATGTCGCTACTCGCAACTGCTTTTCCAGATTTGCTCCTAGATTTATTGAATTTCGAGTCCCGCCTGCGGTTGCCTTGGCAGGGCCAGATCAAATGATTTCGCGGGCCTCACACGGCCCGCGGGCCGGACGTTCCCCACCCCTGGCCTAGGGTAACCTCATCCCATGGCTGACACTCTCACACTCCCTCCTGTAGGAGTCAGCACTGCACGCCACGCGTGGTGCCACTGCGTTATCCCAGCGCTCACGGTGCCCCCTCTAGGGCTGGTACCACACCCACCTACGGGGTGTCCACGATGACAATGCATCGCATGCCGTGCCTCGCTCGAGCCGGCATTTCACAGTGACATACACGATGTCGCTATATACGTGACGTCCGCGATGTGAGTACATCGCACGCCGTGCCCCTCCAGGGCTGGCACCACACAGTGACAATAAAACACTTTTATAACTGACAGTTGCTTTAAAACCACTTGAGTCCTTCAAAGGTGCAGCCATGCATTTACTACTACAGTTTCCCAAGAATGTCTGTGTGCAACGCGCGTGACGTCATTCCACGTCGACCAGCCCCCCTCATTAATAATCATGAGCAGGTGACGTCCTCCAACTGGACACCCCCCGCCATTAATAATAATTAGCAAGTGACGTCACTCCACATGGGGGGGGGGGGCGAGGCGCCTCCTCCCCCCTCCTGTGCGTCAACTGACAACCCTCACTACAAAGGCAGAACCCTCACGTCACGTGATCTCCGTAATGCTATTGAGACATCGAAGTAATAAGGACGTCATGATGAACAATGGATTATAACCTTAAAATTAAATAAGTCTGTGTCACCGCTGCCTTACAAATTGCACACGAATGGATGCAATGAATATCACGTCGTGGTCTGGTTTTCGCTTCCTTGGACGGACAAAAGGCTAATTTAATAAATAACAGTTAATAACGTACAGCCTCAGAAATGGGTATGGCAAAGTGAGAAAAACATCAAACGTCAGTGAAGAAGCGCTCAATATTAAATGTAAGCCAACAAAATTGGATGAATGTACAAATTTAAATTTTGATACTTTTTAAAATGAGGTACAATATAACTCAAGATCACTTGCACCCAAATGTATACTGCACTGTGCTGGAAAATCCAATAACCCATTCAAATATGGTAAGAAATAGTTTTTAAATGAAAAAAGCTTCCAATTACATTTGCTATTTATTAACAATTAGCACAGGCAGCTAGTGGTGCGCCCTAATCTCGCTTTATGTACTTTTAATTAATAAACGTATTAAAAAATATTTATTTGGGATGACCTTGAGTATGATGATGGATGGGTGTGTTGGCTCTGGGTGGCCCACACTGAGCGTAGCTGTGGCACGTGGGGTGTGCGCTTTTACATGACACCCTCTGGCCACTTTTAGAATCAGCTGATTGAAAAGGATGGAAATTCACCAGCAATGGCCATCTGAGCCTTCAGATCGATTACCAAAGGCTGTCGCCTGCAAGCTTAAACACTCCTCTGCGAAGAAAATTAATGTCCGAGTTTTGATGACGTTTACAAATGTGGTTTCTTCTTGGCTTCTTTGCAACTTGTCTTCTTTCAGAGGCTGGTAAGTGCATGCAATAATAAAGAGCTCTGTCAATCCACTACTGATAACGAATTCCCCGTCCCGTGTTTTTCATGAGGTTGTTTGACTATACTTCACCACCTCGGTTCGCGTTAATTGACGGTGGTGGGCAATCACTGATGCTGTTGCCAGGAGTCAGACTCAGGTTATTGGGTTCCATAGTACATTTTGTGAATTGCTGCACCACCACTTTCTTTAAAATGAAAATATAGTTTACAGTCCTTTTGTACATCTACTGTTGGATGAAAACCTTGTGGTGTGTCAATCATGGTGATTGGTTTTACCATTCTTTGCTATGCTGATCTGATTGGTGAAGTAAGAGGGTTCAGGACTGGTTCAGATATCACTGATGTTAGCTTTGACCAGGAAGTAAACTCAGGTTACATTTTAGAAATAAGTACACATTTTATTACAAGTGCATTCATGGAAAGAATAAGGATTTACATCTTTGAAAGTGTACAAGGTATTCCTATAAGATGCAATTGTGCATACATTAACATTATGAAATGATGTTTTCGCTCGAATGAGCAATTGGATTGTAGCCATCTCTGTTGATGGCTCTGGGCCATTGGTGGAAATTCCATATCCCCATGGTGGGAGCCTGCCTTTAAACAGGAAACCCACTTTGAATGTGAATCCAGGTATATGAAATGGATGTTATGAAGAAATTGAGTGAGGTCCAATTTAGACAAAATTCACTTCGACCTATATTTAGGTGGATCTAGAGACTTCTGAAGGGGAGGGACAGTCCCGAATTTTCAAGGGTTTTATATTGGACCTTACATTAGTAAAATAAAAAAAACATTCAAAGTATTTATTTATAATACAACTTTTGGGGGGGGGGGTTCGAGGGGGCCAGGGTTGATCAACCGAATTGCTCCCCTTCGTTGGATCTGCCACTGGACCTGAATAAAATTAGAGTATTACAGTACACACTGTTAATGTGTAGTAAATTGCATAGTATGCTTTCACGGCAAAATATTTCTCCTTTATAGTACTGATTTTTATCGGTGACCTGTTTGAGGCATAATAATAATTTAAAATGAACACTGGGAATACAATGTTGTTTTGAAACTATACAAAACGGGAGTATAGTATCCTTAAAAAAACACCTATGGGGGTTGTTAAACACTTATCTAAACAAGGAAGACAAATTCATGCATATAATGGACTCGAGCTTTTCAACAGGTTTTTGCCCTCGGCAGTATTTAATTGCTTCGTTCACAAATGTGTATTCTTTGCTATAACGTGGAAAAAGAAAGATGAATATTAATATTCTTGGTTCTTTCGGTAAAGTCACGTAGAAGGGAAACAATAAAATAATAAAAATATAAAACGATAAAATTCTCACGACGTTTCGACTGCAACACAAGCAATCATCATCAGGTGTGAAAACCACAACAATAATTTTATTGTTATATATTTTTTTATTTTATTGTTTCCCTTCTATGTGACTTTACCGAAAGAACTAAGAATATGAATCCCTGCAGTCACGAAAGTTTTAAATCAAAAATGAATATTAATGTTACAAAAAATGGAAAGTGTGCAAACAATATAAAGTGTGAAAGTCTGAAAAGTGTTCAAGTAAGCATGGAGAGGTGCACGCTTGGAATTGCATTGAGAGACAGATGGATTTGATTTCAAATGCAGGTTAAAGACAAACTGTATTGATCTTTAAGAAAGTTACAAAAAAATAGGTAGATGTCTCCTTCACATATCTGTCTTCACGTAGAAATAAAAGTACCGTATTATACAACTCATCAGCCGCATGGACTGGGAGTGTATAATTTCAGCAGCATTGTTTCAAGATAAGAAAACTCAGTACCAGTTTCCAGCAACCTTTGCACCAGTCAGACGTGCTTGGAGTCACTGCTGGTGAACTGCCGATCTTACAGGGCTTTGCGAAGGACACATTGCTAGAATTCATGCATGATGACTGATGGTCAAGAACACAGCAATGACGAATTGGTACCCATGCAAGCAGCAGTAAAATCAGCTTCTGTGGAAGTGTTGGATGGATTGTTAACATCGGAGGACCGCAGTGTATGGTGGTGCCTTTGGAGGGGCCTTTATCCAGCAGTTGATTGATCATCGTTGATGATGAATAACGTTATCGATAATGAGTCGTACAAAATTATGTTACTTGGTACATAATGTCATCGCTTTGGCTTAAAAAGCTCTTCTATTTAGCGCTACCTTTTTAATCTTGAATTTTGGTTAATACCCCTTTATCGCTTTTCCCGGTTTTGAATGTGGGTATATTTCTTATCGTGATACAGCTTTATTCGAAAATTGCATTGACATTGCATCTTTTTGACTAGAATAATCGTGACCCCCATATTACAGACAGAGCTAATTAATAAGTAAAAATATCCACATGCAGCCACTTCTATAGCCTTGTAGTTTGAAGTTGCGTGTGATATATTGCAGCCTTTGCCAAGGCATGTGAATAAAGACGGTTTGTTTATAACCACAGGAAAACTGCCTTGTTTAATCATTGCTCCCACGAGGTGGTGGGCGCATGACAGACCTAATGTATATACACTGGCCTTAGGGGTGACATGTTATACATTATGGTGGTACAAGCCATACAAGAATGACCCCAGGAGAACAGGTGGTGTGACGGTTTAAAACAAGTGACACGTGGATAAACAATGAACTGGTTCGTGGAAGTTTGGTAAAACACACCTTCATGAATACATTGCGCAGTTCATTTATGCCTCTCTAACAACCCTATGGTTGGAAGGAAGTGTAAACAAATGCGTATATCATTTTTATATTTTTTATTGTTTAGGGACAGACACGGGAAGGCACTATATTGTCTAATTTACTTCGTCACATTCTCCACAAAGACGCTGCTGATGATTTTTTTTGTGGTATGCATAACATAGCAGGTTATTTTGTAGGTTCTCATGTGCGTGTACAGCCAATACACTGGTGGATAAGACCCCCCCCCCCATGCCTTTTGGGTAAGAGTACTTTTCGATGCTCGGTGTATGTCGGTGAAAGGCGGTGAATGTAATTGTTGGGAACGTAGTGCAATAGCAACAATGGATTTTGCTATGCTGCCCCTATGATACTAGCCAGCAAACTTGCTATGGATGTTGGTTCGCCCACCCAAACATGATGGAGGCTCAAAACCTGCTTGGCTTACGAGATCTGACGATATCTGGTGCATACCTGGTCATTTGCTGGTAGGTTTTTTCGGTTTGTTATTGATCTGAAATGAAGATCTGGACGTTTCAGCTGTCTTGACATCACTTCCACGGTGGTCATCAGCTATGATCAAACCACGACTGGATGAAGGCCCAATGTGATTGGGAAGTTGACCTAGTATCCATCTGCAACATCACTAACACTGCATTCAGTTTTCATATTTGTTTGCGGCATGTTTGACCATTTCAATTAAATAATTTAATTTGTAATGCAATATTTCTGCGTATTCATATATTTTAATGATTTTACTGTACTCGATGGAATTCTGTTTAGTTTACAATTGGTGCATACCTTCTTTAACCTATAATCCTTAATTCACCTCGTGCATTTGACCACTTTTATAGTGGCTAGATACAGAACTCTTCTTATCCATTGCCCTTATATTCGTGACTCCTGTTATTCGCAGCTAATAGGGTCTTTGAAAACGCAATGTTAACTGTGGCCCTATTCAAATTGTCTGCCATAATCCACCAATTTTCCCAACAGTCAATGTGGGACAGCATCAAATGATCTGGGTTTTTCGTGTATCGGAGAAGTTGAGAGCCAAAATATTCTGATTATCTGTATTTACAGTATCTGATATTTTACACCTGCAGACACATTGAATATATTTGTGAATAACGCCGCCGGATAGAAGAATCCGCGATATTAGCACCTCTGATATCTGTACCTCCGATTAGCACGGTTGGCTACGTACGGTGCGAAAGAAGTTCAACATGCATGCGTATTGGTCCCTCATGTCATGAGGGATAAGATACATTTTCCTGTAAAGGGTGATATTTTGGCTGGTGTGTGATCTCACTTTTACACGGTGGCGAGGAAAAACAAGTGGCTGGTTATGTTAAATAGCTGAGTTTCTCCTTACAGCTCGAATAATATGCACGGACTTAAAACTTTCGCGACTGCAAGAATTCATATTCTTTGGTCCTTTCGGTAAAGTCCCGTAGATAGATACTTATTTTTCCATCTACGTGACTTTAACCGAAATAACCAAATGATATAATATACACGGATTTTGAAAGGGAACTCAAGCAAGATAGCAAAATCAATTTATCTTAACATTTCGGTTTTCGCAGTCAATATTGATTCATGAATTGATTTTTGGGTTCGGGCGTGTAATAATGACATGGCTTCACCCAGAATTATGTCACCCAACGCCCAAAAGTATACAGATAATCAATACACCTAATATCGTGTAAATATATAAATTGCATATTTTAGGATGGTAGATACAAATTTTGGAAGCTTTGCAAATGCATATTCTGGGATGTTAGATGCAAAATTTGGAAGCATTGCAAATGCAACCAAAATGTCACACGTTCAGATGTGCAATTATTTAGCACTGTGGTGGGGGGAGGTTAGTGGGGGGTGGGGGGTTAGTGGGGGGCGGGGTGGGCGGCAATGCGCGCGCTCGTAATTGGTTGGCTGGGCGCGCGAGACGAGCCTGCGTCGACCAATCGAGGAGGCTCCCGAATTGGCGAGCGGGCCCGCCTGTGCGCGCTAGGGATTTCAATGGGCACAGTCGAGGCGCGTCTCTCGCGTGGCATGAAAACAACTGCGTGCTAACGACAGTCGGACGCCGCGTCTCGCAGTCTCTGTTATTTGCCCCGCCAAGCGAAACTCGTAAGTCGTCACGAAAGCGTTGTTGTTGTCGCCGTCGTCGTCGGCCGGTCGCGTCTTTTGTCAGCTGGAAAGATTCGCCCCGGGGGAGAGGGGAGGGGGGTGGGTGCGGCCTTAGCGCCCCGCGAGAATCCTCGCTGTTTCCTAGATGCGATGCCGCGATTGGCGCGATCTCGACGGCGGGGGAGGCGCCGTCCACCCGCGATCGGTGTCAAAGCAGTCGCTGAGATCCCTTAAGACTCCTGATGGAGGCCGCGCGCGATTAGTATGCTTTAACGATTTCTCCCTACGTTTTTGGACGATGCACGGGGCAAGCCGTGGCTTGATCGACGTTTGGCATTGAATGTTTGCATGTAGCGTTTTTGACGTGTTTATGATGGTTGGGCGGGTGTGAAATAGCGTCGCTGCGTATCGATTCCGCTGACTGGGCCATTCGACGAGAGACTTGATTCTTTGTTCTCTTCTTATTTTTAATTAAGTCACCTTTGTAAACATTAGCACAAGTGCGGCGTTGTACTCCCGCAGGACTGAACACCATATTATTGTTAAATAATACAAAACTTATCCTTTGATTCCATGCAAAGTGTCGTGAGCATACGGATCGATGTTCAGTGTCGTTACATTCCTCCACATCCTGACTCTAGTCTATAGGGCATAATATGTTTACATTAAGATTTTAATGTGTAGATTGGAACTTTTTTTTTTAGGTGTAGGTATAGGCAGCGTTAGACTGGCGTTATGTTTTAGTACATCTGATAGGACTTAATAAAAAGGCAGGATTGTCCTATGAAAGAATAGGAATAGGTTTGACCCTTGCTGGCATTAAAAGAGGATCTGTTAATCTTGATTTGAAGCTTTCGTGACACCAAATAAAAACCTCTTCCAAGGAATCAAGTCTGGATTAACCACACGCAGGACTTGTGGCGAACATGCGAACAAACATGTTCTGGTAATGTGTTCCGGCATTGTCTTTGAACCTGATCGGTATACACCAGAGACATACTTCTTTAGGGCCTAGTTTCAACTACCAGTGTCAGACCAGAGAACAACTCCAGAAGGCGAACATTACAAAGACAATGCCACACGTATTAAGAGCATGTATAGCTCGAGGTGAGATACTGGCTAAAAGGTCCCATTTTGCACTATTTTCTTGTTGTGGACTCTTAATATGGACGTTTTGTTTCATGACATTTGAATAGCCGAAGGACTTTGAAGTATGCAGTACGTGCGAGTGTAACATCCTTTGAGCATTTGTACTATGTTAAGTAAATTAGCGTTGGAAAAGTGTCGTTTGCCTTGTTAAGAACTTTTCACCCACGAGTTTTTTTTTAGGAGCCATGCAACCCATGTGTTCCTTAATACCCAGGCCCAAGTGCTGTAGTGCGCGTGCCCAGTGTGCATTTTAGAGTCATTCTGTAGCGCTCTTGATGCCTAAACAACGTCAAGTATTTAGACCCGAGGCTATTATAAACGTGTATACATGATGTAAACACCGAGGTGCAATCTATCCACACATCACAGTTGTAATTAAGTGCAGCTTTCTGTAAGCAAGCTAGCCGGCATGCAGACTTCCACATGTATATACTGTACTGTATACAGTATTGCAACATTACTTGTATGTGAGATCCAACTTGTTCTGTTGATCGCCTTACAGCCACATCGCCAGCATTTAATAACATCGGAGGACGAACTTGGTTGCAGAGAACACATGCTATACGGAGTGATTCGTGCTCCGGACAGACACTGTTTAATTGGAAACTATAATCGTGCAATGGGCACCGCAAGCCTGTGTGTGTGTGTGCGCACGTGTTACTCTCTCAAACTTCCGTGGTCCCCCCCCAATCGCCTGACCGAGCCGCGTGACCTGCACGAGTTTTCCTGCCTGGGCCGCCCTCTTGCATTCTTGCGGTTCGAGCCAAGTTGTGGAAACGTGCAATGGTTTGTTAACCATTGCCCCTTGCGTTTTGTAATTTCTGTGTTCAAGCCAACTGTGCTTATTGTTGTTATGTTTGCCGACTTGTTTACTGTTTGCGTGTGTGTGTGGTATGTACTGTTTTGCATATGGGCGCTCGTTAATGTCACTTGCTCCTGCAGTTCAAGGCTACACGGGGGCATCTTTTTGTTTGTATGTGTATGGGGAGCGGCAGTGCAGCGGGTTAGCCCTGCTGTACAACGCCCAAATTCGATTCCTGCTCAAGGTCAACACCAGTGATTTTTTTTCTGAACTGGTCCTGGTGCCTATGCTAGGTCGACTTCTCACCATTCGGGAGGAAAAGGCGATCGGGCGTGGTGATGGCCACCCACCCCTTCGTGCGCGGTTGCGGCATTCATAGGTGCTCCCTAACAGCACTTGCCCCAACAATATGTTCAGGCTATACGGCTGTTCTTTGTCATATATGTAAAAACGTAATGTGTTATTGCTTTTCGATTGGAGATTTCAGAATTATTCATGGACTTAACAAACAATGTAATGTTATAACTTGATGTCCCTTCTGTCAAACCCTGATATTCAACCTCTAAATTAAGAGAGAGGCAATTCACACAATGGGTCGTTTTTAGAAAGGGAGACCCATGATTTATAGGAATGGAAACTGTCACTTTTGCAGTCAAAATTACAGTAATACAGCATAGTAATAGTACAGGGTCAACATACACATAGAGCATTGCATGATATTGAGTGCCAGACAGTTCTGTGGAATGGTTCGGTAAGGGCTGTGTATAAAAGAGCTATACAGTACATGGGTGATGTGCTGAAGTTTGTTTTAATTGTATAGAGAAGCTATGTAATTTGGATGACTCATTTCTCTGGGTACTCTTGTGATACATTAAGGGATTGCTTCAGACCTTTGAGGGCACACAGCACTCTATATTTTGGCAATAAGCCATACTGCCCTACACTGTCAGCAACCTGTACGCTTAAGTGTGCAGGAATTGGTATTAAATGCTATTTTATTGCACAAATTATGTTGTGTTTTGGCGGTAATGAGGAAATTGTAACTCTAAAGGTAATAAAGTTGGTACTCTGTATTGAATCAAATGTGTGATGTTTCACTGTCATCTTGGCAAAACTGCACGCGAATTGCCCGATGATGCTGGAAGTATTTACCAGCGAAACGTCGTACTCAAACTGTAAATGTTGTGGATTAACTCTTCAACACACCGGTGGGCTGAAGTAGTGAATTATTTGTCTTTTGTCAACGTGACACTTTTTTTTGCTGATTGGCCGTGTCGGGTGGTGGAGGGTTACGACACATTTATAAATAAACGCGATCTAATCCAAAAACCTTTATTATGGACAAACTCTGCTGTTGGTTAAAGGAACCGGTGATTTATTTTTTGCTGAAAATTGTCTATTTAAATAAATGTTGTATGTATATTGTTTATACTTATATTTGGAACACTATTCAAAATTGATAATACATTTGGAACAGAACATTTTGTTAATTGCATGCATGCATGAGAGGAGCTGCGTTTTCTCTGCAAGTTGTATGCAAATATGGGTATCTGCAAGTGCAGCGCAGTGTGTCATGGATTAATTTTATGCTACTCTCACTGATCTGAGGCTGAATTGGATTTCCAAAGTGCTCTTGTCAGGTGCATTCTGTGCAGTTAATGAGTCTGTCTTGAGGCTCATTTGGAATCACTCATTAATAGGACTTATACACTTCAGGTGCTCATTGGCAAGCCCTATGATACATCTGGTAAGTGATGGTTTGTAAGCCTACCTGCATTGTTAGCCCCATACAAGGAGACAACCGCATCCATCTAAATCTCTTCAGCTTTCAAAAGATAATTTATTCTTACAGTGCGTGCAAAAATAAACAAGGCTTTTGCCAGCTTTGCTGCAGAATGCTAAATCACCACTGAAAAAAAAAATGACTTTCTATGCACGACAGCTCCGCGATACAGTTTTATGAATACATGGCATAGGCATTGGTAATGCTATGAGAAGCATTTTCTATTTGTGTGCTATGGAGAATGGGGGGGGGGGACTCTTATTGAAGATGGGCATTATGAGTTAACTGCAGAGAAGTCAGAGATGAGCTGATTAAAGATGAATTACTGTCCAGATAGCAGAAACCAACATGATAGGGTATTCATCCAGCAATGGCAAGAATGTCAAAATTATTAAAACTGATGGAATTTGAGGTTGGCTGTTTTGAGCCCCGCACGGTCTTTGATTGATCGCCCTCTGGGTTGGTGACGTATTTACGCACTGCAGAATATTGCGCTGTCGTGAAGTTAACAGCCGTCGTGAAGTTAACAGCCCCATTCTCAAATGACCTGTTAACTCGAGCACTTTGAATGTCCATGCAGAACGTACATGAAAGGACATGCCTTCTACTTTACATCTCATGTTACATATAGCAGCATAACTCACCCATGAGAATAAGACAAACCATACTCAAATGTTTAGCTTTCCTGTACAACACAAACATAAGTTATATGGCAATGCATTTTTATTAACCTTTGCATGCAAATATTGCAATAATTTTTTTATCAATGCTGCAAAATGACTGAGTAATAAGAACAGTATAGGTCATCAGCCATGATCAAGTCACTGCTGGATAAGGCCTCCCCAAACCATCGCCATTTCTCATGGCCATACGATGTCGCAAGCCATCTATCATATGCACACGAGCTGATTCCATCAATTAATTTTCATGGTGGACTTTTAAAAAAGTAGGGTGAACACATGGATTAGCAGGGATTCATATTCTTGGTTCTAGCGGTAAAGTCACGTAGGAGGAAAACAATAAAATGAAATAAAAATGCAGTTGAAACGTCGTGAGCATTTTATTGTTTGTTTCCCTTCTACGTGACTTTACCGAAAAAAACAAGAATATGAATATCATATTGGCCGTTTAGAACAGTGAGTTGGCTTGGGCTGCTCACCTCGCTACAAAGGAGGTTTGGCCGGTGGTTGAGACTCACGACAGAGCGGTAGCCCAAGGAGTGAATGCGCCCAAGAGGACGGTGTAGATACCTCGTGGAAATTAAATGGTTTAGGAATAGGTGATGGCTTGCACGCACGAATTAACCTCGCAAGATATACGAGGTGTTGCCAACCTACGGCTCGTGCCTGCATGAAGCGCCCAGACGGTTCACATGCAGCTTGATATAGACGCAGCTATATATATTTTTTTCCCTCTTCAACACAGCTTTATTTGTAACGGCAACACAGCTTTATTTGTAACGGGAAAAGATCTGCGGGAGGCAGACAAGTGTTCTCGCAGGGTGTACCCGCAGATTTATAAACGCAAAACCCTGCAGCCAACCAGCCAACATGAGCGAAGCAGATGCCTGATCACCCTGCGTGACCGTCCCATGTGTTTTGTGGTTGTTGGCCATATGAAGATTTTTGTTTACTAAGTTTGGCTGTCCTGTTATTGACGTTATCACACCAATGCAGGGGGAATTAGGCGAGGTACCAGGTCAACTCAAGGTTTGATTTCTTGGGAAAGATTCATCATCTAGCTTTGCCTCAATCTTCCCAGCTTTCAGTTGAACACCGTGGGATACAGGCGATTGGCAGAGTACTTTTTTCAATAGCACAGGTTACCATTTACGAGAATACACTTGAAGTGTTACTGTTTAATGTGTACTGTAAATTGTGTAGCAATTTAAACACTTGTTTTTTTGCTTTTGTATATGCATTGGAACTTGTTTGCTCTTTGTCTGTATTGGTTTAAAGCCAGGCCTCCCTTGAAGAGGAGATTTTCATTCTCATTGAGCTTTTACCTGGTAAAAAAAATGTCTAAGTGTTGCCATCCATCTGTATCTTCCACCTTGTTTAACCAGCATGGATGTTTAAGTTAATGTTTTTTTAAATACAAATAGAGGTCCTTCACCTGCAAACCATGGGTTGAGAATGTGGCCATAATCCAATCTTGGCCCTGTGTTTGTGTGGAGTTTGGATTAAGAAGGCTTGTTGGTTTTAGCCTCTAAGATTAATGAGCTTTCTCAGAAAACTATTATTGGCGACATTCATTTCAGTGTTTGGCTCCCAGTTGACATGGGACAACCTGATGGAACCCATTCAGCTGCATGATGTCGCCCACCACTGCTATTGAAATCTACATTTGTCAATCAATGAATGCATGAATGAACTGCTATATTCAAAAGCAGGTGAGAGACCGTTGGGACACAATACCCTTCTTGGATGGGAGTAAACTGTGGGCTTCTTTCTCACGTGTAAACATCTCCCCAAAAGAAATTGGTTAAACAACTTAAGCTGCATCTCTCAATACATTTCTTGAGAATTGTTGAGTGTTAAGTAAATAAAACATTTTGGGGATATTTAAATTGCATATTTTTGGGCTTGTAATGATTTCCCCCACTTACACCATATTGATTAATTGTTGCAATTAGGCGTTACGATTCATTTTAAGAATCAGTTTGCCATTCTGGGGATTTTTGCACCTTCAGTAGAACATATACAAATAAAATTACGGATTCTTACACACGTGTCAGTGAACGTAGCATGAATATAAGCATAGAGTATACGTTTAACTGATAAATAGATGCACCTTTACATGTCTATATATTTGATCCCAGTCGTGCTATCGTTGCCATACCAAGAGAATAAATACATTTTACGTAGAACTCACAGCAAGCATAGCATCACATCAAGCATAGCATGTAAGTGGGTCACGCAGGAAGGTGGTTTAACCACAGTTGTACTTGCAAAGTCACTTCAATAGACCTCTCATACAGTGCTCGTTGACAACACCCTTATGCTTTTTAAATTTGCTCATCGCAAGAGAAACCAAAATGTTCGGTCCTCGGATGTTGTGCATTCTAAACAATAAAATATGTTTCGCGAGGTGGCTTTTTTCTTGACACAGTATTTGACGATCTGTCCGAGCCCATCGTCTCGGTCTACTTGAAAATCCAGTTTAACCACAGTGGCCTAAATCCGGATTCAAACTCGGGCTCTCTCTCAGCAGTACCCGGGTCAGTGTTCTGACACGACCACTATGAGTCCCTTGAGCTACTCAGCCCCGACACTTACTAATGTCAATATACACTTTAACGAGTGCATTTGCCTGTGTGCTCAGGAAGCTACGAGCGAGCAGGGCGGGGCCCGGCTGGCCATGATGAAGCCGGACATCAGCACACTGTCGCAGCAGCTGAAGCAGGAGCGCCTCTACGTAAGCTCTGAGCGGCAGATCCTGCAGCGTCTCAATGCCGACGTTCTCAAGACTGCCGAGCGCCTCTACCACACGGCGTGGATCGGCAAGCAGCAGCGGATCAACCTCGACCGCCTCATCCTCACCAGGTGCGTGTGCCGCATGCTGGGCCGGGAAAGCATGGCCGGCCGAGCAGTAACACCGGGAGATAGCGGTTGGAAATTGCCTTGAACACATGTGGGATGCATAACAGCAGGAAAATTAAAAGTGTTGTGGAAAAATGGAAAAAAAGAGAGGAAGACGTAGCAGAGAATGGCTTGACATAAGAGATTAGTGACAGAAAGATGTGCAGTACTTCAGCATATTAGCACAAGACAGGAAAGTGGAAGCAAATTATAAAAATGTGCAGTGGACACCTATGGGCTATCTGCCCATGAATTGTGATGAAGGTGATGATGATGATAGCTGTTGTGGGTTAGGGATTTTATAGTTGTGCTCAGGAGTAGGTGGTAGGGTTTGTGCAGGGTGGTTAGCGGTTAGTGGTTGGGGTTAGGGTTTGAGTTGAGGGATGGGTTTATGCTAGGTGTTAACGTATAGTGGTTGTGGTTATGATTTTTGGGTAATGAATTAGCGTTAGAGCTAGGTGGTAGCGATTGTGCTCGGGGACTGCGAATGTTGGGTTGGGTTCATGTTTAGGGGCTTTATTTAAGGTTTGAAGTTTACGGTTATAGTTAGGGTTCGGGGTTAGTGTTTGTGTGAGATGGCAGGGTTTTGTGTTCGGGGATTATCATTTAATGTGTTCTTCATGCTGTGATTCATATAGGGTTATAGTTAGGTGGCACGGATTGTGCTCCGCGTTAGTAGTTGAGGATGGGGCTAGTGTCAGAGTTAGGGTTAAAGGCAATATATTATGGGCACAATACGGGGCCAGGGCGTTTAGTATTGCTGATTATAGGCAAGTGATCAAAGTTAAGGGTTACGGTTCCTCTAGGATAGAGTTGGTGGTCATGGTTAGGATATGGTTTTGGTGTTAGGGTTTGGGTTTAATATTATGGGTTAGATTTGTTATTGGGGATTGGGCATACAGTTAGGGGGCAGTTAGAGGAAAGTGGTTTAGTTTTGGATTGAGGTTATTGTTTAGACCTTAGAGTTAGCGTTAGTGTTATACGTTAATGGTTAGTTGCATGTAGGGGTGTGGGTTACGGTTGTGAGTTAGGATAAAAGTTAGTGTTTAGATTAACAGGTTAATTGTGTTACGGGTCAGAGGTAATGGTTAGTGTTGTAAAGTAATTGTTAGGGATCAGGGTTAATTAGTGGTCAGGGTTAGTCTTACGAGTATTGTTGTTGCTAGTGGTTAAAGTTACGACCTACATTTAAAGTGAAGGATACAATTAAGAGGTCAGAACTAGTTTTATGGGTTAGGATTAGAATTTAGGTGGTCATAGTTATGCCTAGAATAATAGGTCATAGTTTTAGGTCATGGCTAGTTTTATAGGGTAAAGTTAGGATTATATATCATTCAAAATTTTATCAGTTGATAGTTAGATATATAGGTAGAATTTAGGACTTAATTATCACACAGGTGCAAGAGACACATTTCAGTTTTTAGGATTAGAGGTCTGTTAATTTTAAGTGTCAGCAATAAGGTTTCGAGTTTATGGTTAGATGTTAGAGTTAGGAATTAGGTTTGGGGTTAGCGTTGGTGTTGAAGGTAATCCCAGGTGTTTTTTTAATACAGAATATAATCTCAATGGGCTCATGTCCAGTAAACTAAATGACGGTGAGGTTGAGTGTCACTGCCATATACTAGGCTGCACAGTAGCTGCATTCCAGCTACTGTCTCAAGAGTAGTTTTATAATCCGGTGCATTTCGCTATGCTGAAAAGCTGCTCATTGCTCATGGAAAATGCACATCCCTTATGAGCTGTTATCAGAGGTTTATGGCAGGTCCGTAATGTCATGCTCCCAAAAAAACTATTGCCCCCCTCCAATCAAAAATGTTCACCGTGATGTGCATATAAAAACTGACTTTGAGTGACCTATTTGTGTTGGCTTACGAATGGCTCTTGAGATATGTTTTACTCGCGAGATGAAATGACGCAGTTGCTTATGAGTCTGGCGTGCCAATGTTAAAGCCCTTCTGACTTTATATCTCGGCACCATGAGAGTTCTTATGCTTGGTCAATATTTTTGGTGCACTCCGTCATAATTTCCTGTCAAGCAGTTGCATTCGAACAGCTTTTTTTCGTTGTCGTGTGCCGCTGCACGTCTCTCGCGAAAGCGATTACCGCTCGGCACAATCGCTGAACTGTGTCCTTGTACGTGACGTGCTTGCGACTTTGTGAGCGTATGAAATGAAGGCACATTTATATTTATTTTATAAATAAGGTCTCCCTAATTCAAGCAAAGGCCCACGGCGGCTGTACTCCGCAGCGGGGCTGGATGGACCACGCTGCTGAAAAATAAATGCGTGCATTTTATTCCAATGAAAGGTGACAGACAGGCCTGCTTGCGCATGCCAGCGAAATATTCTAAAGCTGCGCATGTGCTCCTTTGAGCCCAAGGACTTTCAGGGTTAGCAACCCTCCGCCGGCTGCCGCCTTCTGGACTGTAACTGTGGCGCACAGCATTACGTAAGCCGCAGCAAAGTCCCCAGCGAGTGCTGTAACTGTATAATGAGGGGAGATGTGCTTCCGTGGGTGGAGGAGGACTGGTGGAAAGTGACGGCAGGAGAAAGGTGCCCGTTCCTCCTTCCCCCCCCCCCCCCCCCCCAAAGGAACTGGCGCTTTCCAAATAAATGTGTTTTCTGCCGCATAATGGGTCATGACATTTCATGGAGGGGGGTGAGGGTTGCGTACATTTTCGCATGTGATTCACAATTTGGCGCGGTCGGTCTGCGCAATGTACCAGTTAAGCACATTAGTATTGCAGATGGGCCGAAAATGTAACCGTGAATTCGCAATCCGTGAAATTCACTAATGATGTCCGTAAGGAATATTTGAGGATGCAGGACTCCTAAAATAATTTGAATGATTATTCAACTCAAATCTCTTATTTAACCCAGAATAATACCTTAAAGCATTTTAACATAATTTTAAACACGTGTAGGATCGGAACTGCTCTTAATCCACTTTCCCACGAGACACATTTTATCTTGCCAAGAGCAAGCGTTCTATGATGTAACCCTCATGAAATGAAGGCTGCACCCTGAGCCACGTAACAATTATCTGAACCGGTCCCGGGCCTCCCCTAGGTCAACTCAGCCTCAAATGAGTAGCTGGTACGGTGTGTAAACATCGCTACTAGGGAGACAAAGGCGGTCAGGCGTGGCGCTGGCCACCCACCCCCTCGTGTATCGTTCCGGCCTTCATTGGTGCTCGCTAACAGCAGTTGCCCCTACAGTCTGTTGAGGCTATATGGGGGATCTTTGTCTTTGTGGGCTCACACAATGGGTGGCTGGGTGCAGAGTTGTGGTCGTCACACTCGCTGCTGTGCCAGTTTCCATGTAATTGAACGGTTTATTTCTGTCGCTGCTTGCTGATGTTTATGGAGAATTTTCCAAACTGTGCTGCCGTCTTATTTTAAATGGAGGTTACAGACCATGTGAGATCATTTGTAGAGTGAGCCGCTCTGAAACTGTATTGTCTGACTTCAAAATGAGTGTGACGGGAATGGGTGAATATGTAGATGATCACAGGGCCTAACCCCATTACATCAGCTGGCTTTGAAATTCGATGGGGGAAATTAATAAATACATATAATGTCAACATTTTTACGAGTGTTATACGATGCCAATATTTGTTGTTGATCCTGACAGAGTAGAGGAAATTACTTTGGCTGGGATCAGTTGCTATTTAACACTGCGACACTCGAACAGTCGGCAACAAACTTGCTGTACTGCCTTTTATTGGCCACCTCATTGGGACTATGCATGAGGGTGGAGATAACTGAGCTGTGTGGATAAAATCCAATCATACTCGGAGACAAACCCTGCACTGGCAGGAACATGTTTTATGTGTTGCCTCCTCCATGCCACCTCACCGTCCGAGTAGGTGTTTTATTTCATGCACACAATGATCTCTGCATCATCCACCTCTACCCTACCTCCCGGGAACTGGAGTACTATTGTACATGATCACCGCCACCACAGTCATCATTACCATCACGACCATGATCATCATTATCACCATTAACATCATCACTCACTCTCGTTAAACCACCCACATTAACGCCACTACTATCAACACTGCAGACATTCCACCATCATGTTGATCATAGCCACCACAAACATCATTCTTAAAACCATCCGCACCATTACTTCAACCATTACCAACATTCATACCTTTATTACCACCACCATGATCCTACCATTATGTCTCCCATCACCACCACCAAATTTATCATCACCACCATTACCACCATTCCAGTCAATGTCACCATCAAAGACAAAGATCTCCTGTAAAGCCTGAACAGACTTTTGGGGTAAGTGCTGTTAACGGGCACCTCTGAAGGCCGGCACTGCAGAAGAGTGGGTGGGTGACCAGCACCACGCCTGGCCGCCTTTGCCTCCAAAATGGTGGTGATTTAACCTAGGGGAGGCCCAGGACCGATTCCGATTATAATTATCATCACCGATATTGGCTGTGAGTAGGAATCGAACTCGGGTCGCCGGGTTGATAGCGCAGTGCCCCAACCACTGCGCTACCACTGCTCCCTCGTTCTCACCATTACAACCATTTGAACCACCACCATCGCCAACATTACCACCATTGCTGTCACCACCACCACCCAATATTTTACATCATTAGTCATCAGCATCTTTCACTATTACCACGCCATCATCAGCACCACCTTTCGCTTGTGGCCAGGTTGCTTCCGAAAAAGAGTTATATAGCTCGGTGAGCCTTACCTAGTAAAATAAAAAATAGTTTAATCGTGACCACAATCACCACCAGCGCCACCACCACCTCGACTGCACCTATCTAACATGATACAATTGCGCGGCCGTTGCAGTGTGGATGCGTCTCCGACTGAGTGCTGCCAGCGTGCCAAGGTGCTGGAGGACACGCAATTTGTGGAGGGCTACCGGCGGCTGGGCTCGCACGAGGGGATGTACGGCGAGCTAGTGGCGCGTCTGCGCGAGGCCCCGCGCCTCGTCGCCTCGTGCCTCGTGTGCGGCGAGCGGCTCGGCCTAGAGGGCACCACGACGGTGCTGCAGGTTGTGTACACCGCACTCTATGGCAACGGCATCACCCCGCAGGACGAGGCCTACCTGCTGCAGGTGGGTTGACTGAAGAGGAGATGAAAACTAAACGAAACGTTTTATTTTACCAGGTAAAGCCCACTGGGTGGGCTACTTAGCTGTTTTTTTTTCAGAAGCGACCTGGCCACAAATGATAGCCCAGTGAAGTGGCTTAACATGTGGAAATTTATAGCAGCCAAATACTCAACATGTATGTTTCTAAATGTGGAGGGAAAAACCGGAGGAACGCGGAGAAAAATGCGCTTGACCACGGGGAAAGCGTGCAAACTCCATATATATAGGCGTCAGGGTCGCGCTCAAACCTATGACCCGTTTACCAGGCGAGGTAGTTCACGTCTCGCCACCGCGGTGCCATCTGGAAGAAGTTGCCCTCTGAAAAAAGGGCAATCTTTCCACCTCGACCTCTTCCAGAGGGTGAAGAGGTTGCCCTGCAGGATAATATTGGTTTTGGAAAGCCAATAAGCCGGGGACTAAAATATATTTTCTTTTATACACGGAGACACAGAACCAAGGTCAATAGATAATCAGAGAAAATATCGCTGCTGCCACCGTGGTTATTTTTACTACTGATAGCTCTTACGGTTGTGATGATGATAAAGTTGTATGGATAAATAGGACATTTTTTTCAGGATGGTGTTGCATTTTCATATCCAGTGAAGAGCTTTGGGTGATGCAGTGAAAAGATGTTAACTACCTCGCCTGGTATGCAGGAGGGTTGTGAGTTCGATCCCGACCCTGACGCCTGTATATTTGGAGTTGTGAGTCTCCATAAAGTAACAGTGGCGTCTGTGTGATGTTTGAACCTGTAGTTGTAACAGTCGACCTAACCTCAGAGGTCTGCTTTCACTATCTCATCACCATCACCATATGGCTGGAGGTTTTGCTTTTAGCTGATCTAGTTGCAACCAAACTCATGATTTTCCTTTTTTGGCAAATTTTTAGTTTGATTGATTCTGACGTTTATATGTTGCAGCTGGAGAAGATAATATAAATTTATGGAAGGATATGACCGAATTGGAAGTTCAGGATAGAACACAATTGACCATTATGACCTCTTGACCTATACTCTGACAAAGAGAGAATTCACACAATAAATATGGGATCCATGCTCTGGTTAGTATGACATTTTGATTTTGCATTCCATTCAGATTCAACTGAACTCTACATAAGCTAACTCAATTTATGCATGGTAGTCGCCCATCCAATCACTATGCAAAATCAAACTTGTCTTCTGAGATCTGATGATATGGGGTGCATTCTGGGTGATTTTCTTGTAAGCGTAGTCGTAACGGGTGCCGCGGTGGCGAGAAGTTAACTCACTCACCAGGTATGCAGGAGGTCGTGCGTGTGATCCTGACCCTGACGCGTCTATATTTGGAGTTTGCATTTTCTGCCCATGGTCGCCTTGAATTTTCTCTGGGTGCTCCGGATTTTAAATCCGAAGCAACATACATTCAGAGTATTTGGCTATATGATAAGCCACTTAATTGGGCTGTCATTTGTGGGCAGGTTGCTTCTGAAAACGAGCTATATAGCGCAGTGGGCCTTACCTGGTGGTAAGTAAAAAGAAACAGACATGTCAATACGTAAATAAATAAAGCTAAATCTCACGTAGTTGTTGCCAGCGTTGACATGCGGCCGTGGCAACGCTTATGGTCGCCACGCTCTTGGGCCTGCAGGTCCTGCGCTACCTCATGGAGTTCTCGCTCAAGCAGAGCGACTCCCCGCGCCGCCTCCTCCGTCGTGCCACCTGCTCCTTCAGCCTGCTCTTCCGCCTGCTCTCGGATGGCCTGGCCGCCGCCAAGATCTTCCTGACGGCGGCGCTGCGCGAGCCCATCCTGCGTTTGCTCGTCGAAGACCAAGACCGGCTCGAGACAGACCCGGCCAAGCTTCTCGACCGCCTCGAGATCCACACGCAGGTCTGCGCTGGCTCTGTGTCGGCACTCGTAGGATACTTTTTATTTTGAATGCCGTGGCTTTTTGGTCGTGACCCGTTAGTTTTTATGTTTGTCTAATGTTTGTTTCGTTTTAAAACCCCACCTCTTCTCCCTAACCCAGGGGTTGACAACCAAAATCACAAGGGGATCCATTTTTGTTAGAATTCGGTAAAACTTTTTTTTTTAAAGAGCTCAGATGCATGTGAATGATGTCACGAAGCGGTTCTTAAAGAGCCGCAGTTTGCCGACCCCTGCCCGAGCCCATAATACTGCTCCTTCCTGCCTCTGCCCCCCCCCCCCGATAAAACCAGGCCTACCCCAACCTCTCCTGAACCACTCCCACCTGTTATCCTAGTCTGTCACCATAACTGCACCACCACTTTTAATAACCCCACTCTTTATCTCCACCACTATCGTGTTACGTGCGATATTATAACTGCTGCTAAGCTCCTTGGAATAATGCGCTTTATAAATATTTGTAAGGTAAAAGTTTATTTGACCAATTTTGCTCCCAGTGTGTTCGATCGACGTCACGTTGTGAGCAGTGTAACTCCCCGTGTTAAGAGAACAGCTCGTGGAAGGTGATATTGTAGAACTAGATCTGAGATTCTTTCCAGACACGTCACTTGCCCAACATGAGGGATGTTGCACATTCCTGCATCCCAAATAGAATGTGGGGGTATTTTTGCGCAGTCATCGGTAACAGGGCTGATACCGTTGTCTCGTTTGCAAATGAGGTGAAAATTTCCACCAAGGGTTGCTACCCGGATTTAAGCCCAGGATCTCATCTGTGCCGACTTGGTGCTCTGACCCCTGAGCCACGTTTTTTTTTTCTCGAATTCTCTCACATTTCGATTGGCCCAAGGCCTCAAGAGATTAGTGGATCATGCGGATTGCTTCATGTGCAGGGGCTGCAAGGTGGCCTGCTGAATGCAGCAAAGTAAGTAGGTCATTGGATAAGCATCCACCGTGCAAGTCTGCTGAAAACAAACCTTGAGACTCGGTGAAACCATTCCAGCGAAATTAATGGACTTTTAAAGGATTCATCAGCTGCAGTGTTCATCTAATGAGGTGCACTTGGAGGAGATAGCAATCAGATCTGGAACACTCCACCAAAAAAACACACACTCCAGGCCTTGATTTGTTGACCATAATTAAACATGTTAGTGATGTATCAGCGGGAAACCTAAATTGTGTGTCTGACATTTGCACAAATTGGCCATTGAGCATGCTTTTAGTGGCAGTGTATTTTGAGGTGGGTGAATTATTTTTTTTAGAAATGTAATTGTGAGTTCAGGAAAAAAACCCCTCCAACTTTAATTACATGCGTGCTACCAGTGCAATGATAAGCAGCGGTAATTCCAATTTATTTAATTTTATCTTTGTTGATGGATTACAACAGCTTTTGTTCCACGTGGGAATTCTGTTGGTGGCGCGGCTGCATTCCGTGCATTCACTTTGTTGAGCCCTTTGAGATCCCCAGATCCTCACTGTAAAATGTTTAAGCTTGTTCTAGCAATTGGATTCTATGCCATGTCCATTTAGATACACTTTGTGACGTCGCTTGGCCCTTTCGTATATGACGTTACAAAAGTGTGTGTGAGGCTGCAACCGACTGTAGCTTCAACCTCCGGTGACTGGTCTATGTGGGGTACTTGGAATGTTTGAGTTTCTTGAAATCTATAGAAATACCCTTTAGAGTAAATGCACTTTGGAGCTCAATTCATGATCTGTTTGTACTTGCACAGCCCTCTTTACAAACCACTGCAAGATGAGAGCCTTACCAAGCCTTGCAGGTTTTGTGGGGGTTATTTTACCTTACTTAACCACACTGCTCAATGTGGGTTGGTGATGGTGGTTATCATCGATCCGGGAGCATAGAAAATACAGTACAATGATGGATATTGCTACATTTCCCTATGCTACCCACCACGTATCCCAACAGCCTATAACCTGGTTATTTTTTTTATACATGGCGGTCACCCATTCATGCACCCAAGTAACTAGCAAGGCGATACACACTCAAAGGTATGTACAGGTGGATTCACATCCCCTCACCACCACTGCTGCCCTCTTCCCCCTGTCTCCCACGCGCGGCGACAGGAGCGCCTGTTTGGCCCGCGCGGCACTGACGAGTTCCGGGCGCGCGTGCTGGAGGCCGTGGAGGTGAACGTGACGCGGCTGGTGGCGCTGGTGAACCGTTTTGCATCCAGCCTGCGCCGCAGCACGCACTGCTTCCCCACCGTGCTGCGCTGGGTCGCCTCGCAGGTACTGCACGCCATCCAGCAGCAGCAGCAGCAGCAGCAGAGAGAGAGGATGTCCAGTGGAGAGAGAATGTCTTTTTATTTGTTTTTTCTGTCTGTATCCATGTCTCTGCTTGTTTGTTCATGTCAACTCGTCTGTCTTTGTGTCTGCTGAACTTTCAGTTATTGTTTCTTATGATTGAAGCTACAAGTTTCTTTTGGGTGACCTGGAGTTGCATCCACTGCAGATAAGAACTGTTGTTTTTTTGGGGTGCGTCGTCCTTTAGTGAGAGTGTGAATCTTTACAACGATGACAGGTGGTGCTTAACGATCATGGCGAAAGGCAATGATGCTGATGATGGTGAAGGTGGTGACACCTCTGTCTTCAATCCACTTTTCCATTTCCGGTCATAAATTCGCCTCGTACAGGCGTACGTGACGCTGGCACGCGCGGAAGGCCTGAGCCCCGGTGAGGCTCGGGCTGTGTGCACGGACCTGCTGCTCGCCTGCTTCATCTGTCCGGCCCTGGTGAACCCCGAGCAGTACGGCGTCATCACCGATGCCCCCATCAACGAGGTGGCCCGATTCAACCTCATGCAGGTAAGCGAAGAGTGCCTCCGATGGATTGATGTGGTTCAGATGCTGAACTATTTAAAACTACTACTAAAAAGATTTTTATTTTACCAGGTTGGGCCCACTGAGCTATATAGCTCTCTTTCAGAAGCGACCTGGCTATCACAAATGATTGCCCAATGAAGTGGCTTATCACCTGGAAATGTAGTGGAGCCAAATGCTCCAAACGCATGTTTCTAAATGTGGAGGGAAAAACCGGAGGAACGCAGAGAAAAATCCACGTGACCACGGAGAGAACATGTAAACTCCAAATTTACAGCAAAGAGTCCAGGTGGGGATCAAACCTGTGTAGCAGGCGAGGTAGTTAACATCTCACTACTGTGGCGGTCTCTCTCCACCATGGCGCTCACTAGTCCTGCTACACCCCCTTCATTCACCAAGCTGCACAACAGCCTTGGTTGACACGGCTTGGTAAGGCCTTCATCCAGGAGTGGATTGACTCAGGGCTGTAAATTATTGAGTTTTATTTTTATAAATCTATTGAGTTCTGCTTTGTCGGAGGAAGTATGCATGTAACACATTCACCCCTCTTGGCATTTCGTTGAATTGTTTTCATTCTGGTGCACATTTTTATTGCAGAATAGATTTTTTTGTACCATAATTTGCATTGTGTCATTTATTCTGGCTTGTTCTCTTAATCTATGATTGATATATAATTCATATTTTAACAGTCCTGTTACGTGGTGAATGGTTACGTGCCTATTATGATGCCAGCAGTGGTTACCCCGGCATAAGAATTTGTAATTTATACTTCTGACTCAGGGCTGCAAACGGGACAAGAGTAATGCCCCATGCCGTTTGAATGTTAATATAAACCAAACGCAATCCTACCTCAAAGTGCTTTAGAGTAACAAAGGAACTCTTAGATTATCAAGGTTTGCTTACGTACCTTGCGAAAGAAGTTCAACCTAAATCTTGACTTAAAGCTTTCGTGACTGCAGGAATTAATATTCTTTGGGGTCTTTCGGTGAAGTCACGTTGATAGGTTCAAAGAAAATAACAAAAAAACTACGACGTTTCGATCGCAACACAAGCGGTCGTTTTCCTGATGACGACACACAATCAAAGTATGTGCTTATAAGTTAATGAGCTACTTGTTTATTTGGGTTGCATTTTCCTTTAAGTCGGTTGATTAATGAATCGGTAGCGTGAAATGATAATGGACAGAAAAAAAACACGGTCGGTCTCAAGACTCATTTTCAGGAAGGTGCATTTGGATGTGTAGCCAGGTTCATGAATAAATGTTTTGCATGTGAAAATAAACTGGATTACCTGGAGAAAACCCACACATACAAGTGGGTAACATTCAAAGATCGCATGCGGGTGGGCGTGCCCTTTCATTGCTGTTGTGACGTGATGGGATGTGACTTCACACTCTTGTGTCTTGCGATATCTTTGGATTCAGGTGGGGCAGGCATTGCAGCAGCTGGCCATGCTGGGCTGTGAGGAAAGCGACTCGCGCATGAAGAACATCGTCAGCAGGTTTGACCGGGTACGCAGTCCTTTGCCAGTCTCACCGAGCGGCAATTCCTGCCAAGTGACTGGACCAATGAGTAGTCGGCAGAGTCATTTCAACCAGCATAACGTGTGGCAGCTGCAGCCGGTTTCCGATCCGTGTAGACAGCTAACACAGCGAGTAGCTGATTATCCTTTTGTTTGGGGGGGATGGGTTTGTATGTTTATGCATGTTCGTGTGGTGTAGCGGTTGGTACACTTTGAAATGATCCCAGTGGCTTCCTTTCAAAAGTCCAGAAATGCACATCAGTGGAAATTAGAATTTGAACCTAGCCTGCTGCACCTGTAAGTATCAAGTGAAGATGGTGGTGTCACCATCAGCACTCGGGAGACAGGCAGCCGGGTATGCGTGGTGCTGGTTTGAGAGCTCACCTTTATTTGCCGTGCCAGCCTTCATTGGTGCTCGGTCACGGCCTTGGTGTGTGCGATATTTCTTTTGCGTGTGAGTTTATGCACGAGGAACCGTGACACTTGGTATTATGAACCCGTCAACTTGAGTTGAATTCGAAACTAAACAATGTTTTTATTTTAACCAGGTGAAGCTCACTGAGCTATGAGCTATTTTTCAGAGGTGACCTGGCCACACATGATAGCTCGTATAGTGGCTTATATCATCACCATACATGGGAATTTAGTAGCACCTAAATAATGTAAATGCATGTTTCTAAATGTGGAGGGCAAAATCAGAGGACCTGGAGATAAATGACAGTCACTTATAAAATCAATAACAAGTGGTATGCATACCTGTCAACCCCTTATCAGTGCCTACCTTATTACAGACCAATTCAGACCTGATTCGTCACCCCGTGCCCCTTATACATCTCAATGTTCATCCTACAAAGGCCTATCACAGGAGAAACGCAAACAAATAGACAAAACAATGTTTTGGACGCATTGAAACGGCTGTGTGCTATGTGGACCTTAAAACTAAATTTCTCTGTACAAGAATACGGGGAAACCATACAGGTATGGGTATCTACATCTGAGCTGAGCCTCCCCTAGGTTGTTTCGGCTTAAATTGAGTACCTGGTGAAGATGTGTTCAACATCAGAACTGGGAAGGCAAAGACAGCTTGATTCGGTGCCAACTACACCATCCCATTGTGTGCTGTGGTGCACATGAGCAACACTTGTCTCCTCAGTCTTCCAATCTACATAGGGTTATCTTTGTGTGTTTGTGTGCGTGCAGAGCTGTGTGTCGTCCTTCGTGGACGTGATCATTGGAGCGCGGGTGCTGGAATCTCCTCCGCTGTCCAGCTACAACCTCATGGAGGGTCTGAGCAGGACCACAGTGTTCATCACAGCGGAGCAGCTGCAGGGCATGGTACGTCTGGAGTTGATAGGTCGTTGAAAAAACGTCAAATTCAATGGTTTGAATGGATGTGCAGTTTGTTTAATCTGTTCAGTTGGCGGCTGTGGAAAAACCGGCGTGGTCAGGTTTTTGCGGTCTTGTCGACTCATAGGGTGTGACAGATGAAATAAAGGGGGCTCGTCCTCGCTCAAAGCCATCTCATGATTTTTTCATTTGGCATTGGTGGATGTTTGCATGGCAGTGACTGCCATCTGCCGTTCTTTGTCAACATCGCCCATTAGCTGGAGCACTATGACGCGTGTCTGTGCCGAGCGTGATGTTGGTGGTAATGGGGATTAGCCACGGCAATGATTCGCACGCACCCACCCACCGACCGATCCCTGCAGTTGTCACAACTCGATTCAATCATCGATCCTTTTTCACCGTTGTACTGTATCACGCGAGTGGCGCATGCTAGGAATTGCACCGAGAGACAGAAAGAGGAACGTGTGGATTGGAGAACATATGCCAGTTCGCGGCATCATATGAATGCTGTTCATAAAAATAAGTGGGCTTGGGCAGGACATGTCGCTGGAAGGGATGATGGCTGAGTGGCAGCCAAGAGAGGGAATGATCCTCAGGGGATGTTGACTGCGGAGGAGCGATGAAATTGGCTTGTGTGCAAAAAAACTGTGTGGATCGTTTTATCGCAAGATCATGAGAGATGGCAATGGCTTGAAGGCCTTTGTCGAGCAGTGGATGGATTATGGCTGATGGTGACCCTCTCATTCTTAACGTTCCAGCCTTTTAAGGTGACATTTTTTCTGTCTTGTTGAGACTGGCGTGTTCTGTGTCGTTCATTTCGCATGTGAGCATAAATGAAACTCGCTTTAAATTTTCAGGAATAAAAAAGAAATCTATTCGTATGCACATGTAATTCTCTACTACGAGGACAAGAGTGTATTGCCATTGCTGAATCGCCGCATCATTACCCACCTCTGATGCTGCTGTTGGTGTATGTATCTATGTTGAACTTTTTTTGCACCGTATGTTGCCATCCGTGCTAATCGGAGGTGCGGGAGAAGGTCACAGCAGTGGATAAGATCAAGGTTGATGATGATGATGATAACTGGCCTTTTGGAAGCACTTCTTCTTTCATATGGGTTGATAGCAGCGGATTAAAGATGTAATTTTCGTTTTGTTATCCACTCAATTGTCTGTCCAAAAGCAGAGTGGATCTCTTCCATTCCTCCTTTAAAGCAGTGAAGACAGCAGCGGAGTGTTTACGATGTGGTCCATGGTTTGGGATTCGTGGCCGCACTTGCAGGCCGCCGAATCTTTGTTGCGCCATTTGTGCATCGGGTGGCCGCATTGGGGGCACTCTCGAATCACGACTATTCTCAGTACCCGGCCGTGATACATGCAGGAATCGAATAATCTACTGTATGTGGCTACACATGATGATGGTGGTGGTGGCGCGGTGCCTTAGATCGGCTTCCTGCACGCCGTGCTGGCCGCTAACTCGCTGGCGGACGACGACCGCTCGTGGCTGGAGAGCCTGCTCGCGCGCCTCCCTTCCCAACCGCCACTTGGCGCCGGCGGAGGCACCACCAGCAGCGGCAGCAGCCATGCCCTGTGCAGCCAGGGGTGCACACCGTCTGCCACGCCGCACGTCTCGCCCGCCACCACGCCCTCCAGCAAGAAGAACCTGCTGCAGATCGGTGAGGGATCTCTGCTGCAAACGCTTTCCAACTGAGGTTGGAGAGCGTTTGTGGGTTGTCTCTATCCGTCCGGCCGTGCGTCCGTCGGCAATGGGGAAGAGGCACTGTAACTCTTGTGAAGGTGATTCGGTTTGACTGAAACTTCAACGTACATCCGATTAGCACGGTTGGCTATGTACGGTGCGAAAGAAGTTCCACATACACACAGAGCATGATATTTTGTTGCTGTTGCGGACTTGGGCCTGTGTGATAACCAGCCAAATTGATCAATTGGTTGCTCAAAACGTGAAGACATGAAAGACAGAGCTAAAATCACTTTGCGAATATGCAAATGTACTTGGACTTCACAGCAGCCTTATTGCCTTCCACAATGGTAATTCAACACTTCGAAAAACACATTCAATGTCATATCCCGGAGTATGCGTAAGCTTTGTTTTATTTGTTTTGTATTACTACAGAGCTGTTGGTGACCAATCACCCAGAATATACCCGCAATACTTAGAGCACATGGTTTACAATTGGAAGGCCGCTAGTTTTAAGTTGTTTCATAATTCGGCATGTTTACCGAAGAAAGCCTCATTGAGGTTCATAACTTTTTTTCAGGAAGATCCTGCCAGGTTTTCGCAGTGCGAGTGGGGTGATGTAGCTATCTGTAATCCCAACTGGAGTAGTTAGCAGGTCTTAGTTCAGAATTGGGATATGTTGGTCAATACCAATAACATGGTATGGTGTTATTTATTTATGTTTAGCTGTGAGAGGAAAATCAAGAAGCCAGAGAGAACCCAAGCATTGCAATTGGTGAACCACATTGTTGTGAGTCAACAGTGGGTATCCAGTGGATTGATTGGCCATCGTCATAGGAATGCGAAATTGATGCCGCTGGCTTAATGCTGTGAACAGATGCGCGTCTCCCCATGGTAATTTTAACAGAAAATAACTTGGTTGTAAGAGCAGGAGCTTTTAATCATAAGTGATGAAAATGCATCAACTTGGATTTCTATCGCAGGGAAATAAGTTTACAGTGAAAAGGCCATTGGGTCAAATTGGGCCACCTCGGTTTGATTAAGATCTGTTGACCTGCACAATGCAGAACCCTTGATGCATGCCGCCCAAAGGCCCTCACCTTATCTAATATAGATTTGTTGTCTCAAGAAAATGTCTCTTGATTTATAGGGCATTGGCCAATGTCACTGAAATGTATTCACCATTCATATGTTATCAAACATGTATTAAATTCCATAATTCACATGTGCCGTCGTTGATGACTAATAGATGCAACAGCCGAACTGAAGTACATTTTTGACACTCGTTCACACGGCGCGTATCTTTTATTGTTTCGTATAACGACCGGTGCTCTTGCCAGGTCATAAATAATAAAGGACCAGTGCTAATTGAACGTGTAGCTCTTTTGACATGGGATGAATGTTTTCTGCATCTCTCTCCTGGCATTAAAACGGTTGGGGTGGAGTTGGCCGTGAACTAAAAGGCCGATGGTGTGGTGTTATGTGCACTGTCCTACAATAATTGCCACCCAGTTTGTACCTGAACCTTGTCTATTCCTTCCCCCGTGTCGACTGGGCCTTAAATGAGTACCAGGTATGGGGAGATGAATATGACAGAAAGGTGACCAAGCACATGCCTCTTGTTGGCAACACCACCACCTTGTGTTTCCAGGCTGCATACCTCAATAGGCGCTCGCCATCGAAACAGTAAAACTACTCGTGTCTGTGTCTATTAGGGTGGTGCTGTCTTCTCGTCTGACAAGAACACACATGATGGGACGCATCCATCCACAGATAATAGGCGCTTTCATGGATCGGTTGGGGCCATGGATAAATGGAGTTGCTGGTAATAGGAGTTACTTTGTACTAGCCCATGGGTCGGCAACCGAAATAACAACAGGACAATTTGTTTTCGAATTCGGTAAACAACTCATTATTTCAAGAGGAGCAGAGCTTGTGAATACGAGATGGTCCTTGATAAATAACGTGACGAAGCAGCCGCATGCGGTTCCAGAGGTGCACGTTGCCGACCCCTGTACTATCTGGTCTGCAAGGCTCAAAGCAGGCGTCTTTGCCCTTGCACCATGCCATTTTTGTGCCTGCATGGCTACGCGATTTCCTCCAGCCGCTGGCCGCAGTCTTGGCCGGCTGTCCGTCGCGGGGGGCCAGCAGCCCCAGGACTGCGACGGCGACGCGGCGTCCGGTGACGGCTACCCCGAGGAGGTCCCGGAGGAGGTGCTCGTGCTCTCGCTGGGCGCCAGTTGTTCGGACGTGCTGCCCGGCCTCATGTCAGAAAATGAGGTGTGTGCATGGTTGTGTGTGTGTGTGTGCGCGTGTGTCCTTGTGCGCGTTTATATTGTGGGGAACGGTGGTGCTGCGAGTACGGCGAGCCGAGTTCGATTCCCGCTCACGGCCAACACGAGTGACGATTATCTGAAGCGGTCCTGGGCCTCGCTTAGGTTGACTCGGCCTCAAATTATTACCTGGTGCGGTGTTTAAACATCACCACTAGGGAGACAAAGGCGGCCGGGCGTGATGTTGGCCACCCACCTCATATGCCGTGCCGGCCTTCATAGGTGCTCGTTAAGAGCACTTTCCCCAACAGCCTGTTAAGGCTAAACAGTGGATCTTTGTGTGTGCTTATATATACACACGAATGTCGGTGCAAAGTAATGGGGACACTGGCGGAACCAGTGGGGGGGGGGGGGGGGGGGGTGGCACGGGCCCCCCCAATGATCCGATCGAAATCCCTAATTTATTAGTAATAAATCGGCATTTTGCGACCCCCACTGCCACTGTGTAGCATATTATTATGTGCCAGGGACTCTATGAGATGATAGGACAATAGTCTGAGTCCATAATTGGTAATAAGTTACAGCAAAGCAGTTATAAGTGCCTCAGAATTGTGCGCAGTTGCGTATACAGTACACGACTTCCCTGAAGGCATTCACCTTCAGCGAGCGCGATGCCGATCACACACGGTTCGAATTCGACCCTCGATCGATGGCTGTGCCATCGCCGCACACGCGTTGAATAAAAAGCAAGGGACAAGTCCTTACTTACAATTCCTATCATTTTTCATTGCTGGAGGGGTTGCCCCCCTACCTGAAAATCTTGGCTCCGCCATTGAATGGGGACTGAATTGGTGGATCATGTAGATTTGTGAAACTTCTAAACCTACTGGGCTGAGATGAAAAAGTGGCTCGGGAGGTCGGAGTACTGCACCGATATTGCTGGGATGCTGTTTTTCGTTTCAGGCAGATGCAATTAAATTGGTTTCACAAGTATAGTAAGTTAGTGACCTTAGGCCAGTCACTGATGTTGAAATATGTATATTTCGTTTTTCACAATGTGGCGCATTTGATGTGTGACCTTATTCCAGCCAAGCGCAGTTTCTGCTCATTTGCTCAATTTGAAACCAAACCTTCCACACTCACCTTATAGTTTAGGTTCCTCTTCGAAAAAGATGTGCCTTAACTGAAATAAACTGGCTGAGGTTGTCTAGAAATTATCGTCGAAAATTTGGGTAGCTCGTGAAGGTGTTTGTTTCTGTTAAAATAAGACTATGAGAGAGACGGCAGAAGAATCCACAGTGGATGGAGGCTTGGACAGCTATGATGTCACAGAAATGCATTATAAATATATATTTAAGACTAGTCACGGTACTTTGGCACCTTTGGCAGCCCATTGCCATTCTGTTTTGGTCATGGAGGGTTTTTTTAAAAACCATAATTCACCACGTTGGTCATTACGGTTTGGTGAACATTATGGGCCAGAGAAAGGGTTTGGATATCTCCCCACTGATGAACCGAACTCGCCAGGTTCCTAATGCAGTGCACTAACTACGACGCCACCACTCCCCTTATGATATCATCAGCCACGAGCAATCCACCACTAGATAAATGCCTCCCCAGTCTTTGCTTGAAGGGATGGTGGCCAGTGGTAGAGACTAAGAATGGAAGTTAAGGAAGAGTTGGAGCAACGAAATTTGACCGTGTGAAGCCGTGATATGTGCAGGCGTTATGATATGTAAGGAATCTATAGCCAAGCCTACAGCAGTCTGTGCCTGCACGTCACTTTCCATCTCGGTATGCGCTTGTCAGGTGCTGTCCCTGCAGGTGGTTGGCGGGAGCCAGGGGGACGGCGGAGGGGACGAGGGTAAACTGGAAGCCGAGGGCAAACCCGACAAGACTCTGCGCTTCTCGCTGTGCTCCGACAACCTGGAGGGCGTCTCCGAAGGTAGGGGCGACCTCCCGGGACGACTAGCACCGCAGTTCCAGTTGCCCGCGCGGAAACGGAACCTCGCCGTGTTGGAGCGAACAATCTGTATTGAAAGCAAAAGCATTGGCTCGCGGAATGCCGTTCTCCGAAAGGGGTGAAGGCGAATAAGGAAATCGCGTCGCACCGCGTTGACAATCGGAGCAGAGAACTTGGCGTTGTGCAGTCTCAAAAGTTATTATTTTTTTTTCCGGGGGAGCCGTGCTCTCACTTTTCAACCTGCAGGCAAAAGCCGTCTCTTCGTGAAGGGAGTGGTAAGTGGGTCTCCAGCACATAGAATTGGGATACAAGCCCGAACAGTATTGGGCGAGGCAGATATATGGACGCGAGCAGCCGTTAGGGGATGACTGACTGGTCGTTTTCTGCGGCTCTGGTTTCTGCCGCATGCCCGGTGCTCTGGAGTATATCAACATAATAACGGTTGTGCTGACTGTGCGGCGGGAGGGAACCATGGATTTATATCCGTCAAGAACGGGTTCCCAACTCCACCCCCCCCCCTTATTTCGCATGCTGGAGCGTGTCTCTGCGACCACATCTGACCCTTTACTGGCAATTCTTTGGGCAGTAATAAGCCTGGGTCAGAGCGTGAAACATCAGTTTTGAAGACAGCGTGGTGCTGCGAGTTCTTCTCACAGCCGCGTCAGCTTATCTTCACATCGCTGCAACGCATAAACAACTTTCAACTTTGATGCTCTGTAATGCTCAAGGTCTTTTGCTTCAGACTTTAAACTTTGAAGTTTGTTATCTGAATGCGTTGTCATGTACGCAAGTTATATTTCTCGAGTGTCCGGGGTCAGCCAACAACATTTTATTGTCCCTCCTCTTGAGACAATATTTGTAAAAAAAAAAAGAAAATCGTTTTTGTAGATTCGACCCAAGTCGCTCGGAACACGCCGCAATCTCCTGAGATCTTGAAAACTTGGTCGGGCCTAGGCCTAGTTGGTGTCTTGAAGGGTTTGAACGCCGTGCGTAAAAAAGGCGTTGTAGGCTGCTGCGAGGGCTAAAGTGTCGGCAGAAGGCAGCGCAGAAAAAATCCACCGTTGTATTATAGACAGCTCCCAACATCTGCTTTCCCCTGCCTTCACCGGCCTCCGCTAGCCTCGCGCGATGAAATACGATCAAATAACCCTCGAAAGCCCATGTGGTGTCGGGAGGCTGTCATCCAGTTGGGGGATTGACGGAAGAAGGTCTGCTCGTGTATTAACATGCGCACACCGACGTGCACGTTCACTGACGGATACGCATTTCACTCCCGCAGCCCACAACACATCGTATCTAATGCTCGTGGGGGTGTCCGATTTCATCTAGTTTTTTTGACATATTTTAAGCTGTTGAATCGCACGCATTAGAATGTATTATTTACGTTTGAGCACATGTTTCTGTCAACATTTTTGGTTTGCAGGATTATTATGGCACACGGACCGTGCCGCACCCGTCATTGCCATCACTGCAAGCAGCCTAACGCACCGCACGTGTTATTTCTCCCTCCCTCCTTCCCTCCCCTCCGTCTCCCTACCCCGCGTTGTGTGCCGGTTGGAGCGCCACAGCAGGCCTTAACTCGGGCGTGTTCGCGTGCGCATACCCGGACCCCTCAGGGCCGTCGAACCGCTCCAACTCGGTGTCGTCTCTCGACCTGGAGGCCGAGTCCGTGTCAGAGCTGGGAGCCGGCGCCTCCGCCAACAGCGACGCGGCTGCTCTGCATCTCCTCGAGCATGAGCAAGGTGAGCACTGCCGCTCTTCCCCCTCCCAGAACGCAGGGGTCAGCAAACCCGCGGCTCCGGAGCCGCATGCGACTCTTTTGAGGGCTGCTTCATGGCTCCCGAGACGATAATTGCCAAAAAACAGCCCTCCAAATTATATTTGACTAAAACAATAAAATTCTCACGACGTTTCGGCCACAACACAAGTAGCCTTCTTCAGGTGAAGGAACAGAACTGTCGGGACGACATGCCTTTAATGTCTTATTTTGTTTTATTTGCTTTATTCTCTTTCTACGTGACTTTACCGAAAGAACCAAGAAGATGAATCCTTGCAGTCACGAAAGCTTTAAATCGAAAAATATATTTGACTAGCTTAACTACCCGGCTTTGCCTGGGACTTGGATTCACCATGCCCGGCCGCTTTTGTTTCCCCAATGGCGATGTTCACACACCACACCAGTTACGTGTTTGAGGCTGAGGCTGAATCGACCTAGGAGAGGCCCAGGACCAGTTCACAGAATCGTGACCGGTGGTGGCCGTGAGCGGGAATCGAACCCGGATCGCCGGGTTCGTAGCGCAGCGCACGAATCCCTACGCAGTCGCTGCCCCCCCCCCCCCCCCACACACAGGATAAAGACAAAGATCCCCCATGTAGCCTGTTATACTGTAGGGGGCAAGTGCTGTTAGCGAGCACCTATGAAGGCCGGCACGACACACGAGGGGGTGGGTGGCCAGCACCACGCCCGGCCACCTTTGTCCCCCCAGTGGCAAGGTTCACATAGTAGAGCAGTTACTCGTTTTAGGCTGAGCCGACCTAGGGGAGGCCCAGGACCGGTAAAAATAATCGTCACCGGTGGTGGCCGTGAGCGGGAATCGAACTTGGGTCGCCGAGTTCGTAGCGCGGCGCGCTAACCACTACACTACAATGCGTTACGGTTCCACATGTGTGGGTCACATGACAGATTTGACGTCACAGCTCACTTGCCGTGAAAAAAAAATGCATTATCGAGCTCCCCCCCCCAAAAAAAAAAATGTGTTGCATGTAGGGAAGTACGCTAAACATTTTGAACAGACACACATATTCACAACTTTGCCTTTTATATATATGGAGACAAATGGTGAATGTTTAAAATCCCCAAAAATGATTTGTAATGCAGCGTTTGCAAATCGTTGTGCCCGTGCGGTTCTTGTATTCACATGCATTGTGGCTCTCAAAATATTTAGTTTTTTTTATCGAATACAGAGAAAATGACTCTTGTTATTTTGCTTGCCGACCCCCTGCCATAGCAGGACCTTCCTGAAGAAGTCTCTTTCAGGCTTTCCTGGGTAAATAAAGGGCACGTCACATAATGCATCTCATCCTATGGTGGAGCTTGTGGTGGTCGCCAACCTCTGTTATTCTTTCCTGGTGGCTGTGGTGGATCTCTGATGTAAAGAAAAATATCTTTATAGCTCATCAGATTCTTCCGGTGTAAATAAATATTCCGATTCTGATATATTCTGATTCTGGCTAACGGGGCTGACGTCGAGGCTTTCGTGGATAACCGAGTGAATGAACAAGCAACTCGCGTGCCACCGCCATGGGTCGGAAGATGGCAGGGAATTCGGGAGATGACAATTTTTGGTTAATTTAGTGATGATGAATGATGATGTTGGTGATGCGTCCCTCCCCATTGCTCTTCCCCATTGTCGGCAGCCACGACGCAGGATAACCTGGATGACAAGTTGCGCAAGTTTGAGATCCGCGACATGATGGGGCTCGGAGATGACCGCGACATCTCGGAGACGGTGAGCGAGACGTGGAGCACCGACGTCGTGGGCAGCGACTTCGACCCGAACCCGGACGAGGATCGGCTCCAGGAGATCGCCGGTGAGTGCGTGACTGTGGTTGTGAGCGAGCGAGGGTGGGCGGGCGGGCGGGCGTGCGTCCGTGCGTGCTTGTGTGTGTTTCACTGGTGGGAGTTGAATTCCCGCGCATGGACAACACAAGTGGCTATTATCTAAACCTGTCCTGCGCCTCACCGAGGTTGACTCGGCCTCAATGGGTACCTGGTGCTGTGAAAAAAGATTGCCACTGGGGAAACAAATGCCGTCGGACGTGGTGCTTGCCACCCACCCCCCTCGTGTACCGTACCGACCTTCATCGGTGCTCGCTAACAGCACTTGCAACAACAGTCTGTTACGGCTATATGGGGGATCATTGTTTCACCAACGCAGACTATTGACATCGCATAGTCATTGTTTCAGCAGATTGAGATTAAGTCACTGGGCGAATTCAAGCTTTGTGCAAAGCAGAATTTAACATATCAGAGCACTGTGCCATATTACTCCATATGATCTTATCCTACAGAACTGATTCAATGCGAGCCCGATACAAGCACCGATCGCCAAATGCACTGGGGTGGGGGGGGGGGGAACAGAAATTCCGTAAACGGCAGCCCCGAGCTCAACGCAGCAGGGCCCATTGACGGGGGGAGAACTGGGCTCACTGCCCCACCCAGGTGGGGACTGCGAGCAGGGACATGAACGTTTTTACGGGGAGGGGGTAAGGACAAGGGGACAGATAACAAGCATAGTGGGGGGAAAGAAAGGGAGAAGGGGGAGGAGGGGAACCGGGAGGGTTGGGTCTAACATTCAAACCTAGCTCGTCTAAAAAAACATCACACCTCAGTGACACACGTGCTCGTAGCTGTGCGTGCTCTCGTGTAGAGTTTCTCGGCAGTGGGTTGGGGATGTGACTCGGAGTGCGATGGGGGGGGGGGGTGGTGGTGCGCGCGTGCAGGCACAGCGGCGGACAGCATGCTCGGGAACCTGCTGGGGCTGCCCGGTTCGGGGCTGCTGGAGCGCTGCACGGGATCCGCCATGTCGGAGACGACCAGCGAGGCGTGGAGCGTCGAGGTGCTCGCCAGCGACTCGGGTGAGTACACGGGCACGCCAGTGAACGCGTGAACGCGAGCGTGTGCACACTCATGTCTTACCTGGCGCGGTAGGGTGCATCCGCCAGTCATCTCAGTCGGTCAACCCATGGCACCTGGCTCTGTCCCGTGACCTCCTCTCCGCAGCAAGCCTTGGATGCTTCACGTGGCCTCAAAGTGCACCTCGCGTGGTACAAGCATTGTGGTGAAGTCACCACTTAGTGGTGAATGGCGGCTGTTGTTGTGTTTTACCTTCGGCCTGCTGTTGTCATTCTCCGTATGGATGAACTCCTCTCCCGTGCCCAGGGTCACGGGAGAGGAGTTCATCAGGGGCAGGCACTTCTGGGCGTCCCCCATCACCACTCACGTGATCTCTGCACTGGAAGCCCCTCGGTAAATTCGACTCATGGTGCTCGGTGCGAGTTCAGCGGGCAAGGAGCTTAGTTTTAGTGTGCCAGCACTTGACCGTGCGTGCCTATGATTTTGTGTTTCCATGTGTGCTTGCATGGATGAGCGTGTATGCACACGTGTATATGAATATGTGGCGAGTGGCCACAACTAACGTCGGTGGCATCGGAACCGGGCCTGGGCCCCTCTCCCTTAGGTCGCCTCGGTCTAAAAAGAGTACTTGGTGCAGTTTAATGAGCGGTCGAGACAAATAGTAGCCTGATGTGGTGCTGGCCACATCACACTACTTGTGTGCCATGCCGGTCTTCAAGGGTTATTGCTTACAGCACTCTTTTGTTGTCCTGTGTGTTCCTCACAGAGGTGACAGAGCTGAAGCAGGAGGAGCGGTTGCAGGAGCTGGAGAGCTGTTCTGGCCTGGGCTCGGTGTCAGACGACACGGATGTGCGGGAGGTCAGCTCCAGGCCCAGCACTCCTGGCCTCAGCGTCGTCTCGGGTAAGGCCGTTGAAGATGCAAAGATTTGTCATTTGAAATTACATTCTACAGGCGGCCTGGTGGCTGAATGGTAGAGCTGAAAAATACCCCGCTTTAGCTCGGTGTTTAATAACAGGTCCCTGCAGGGTGGGCTGGTAGGAACATTGGAATTTTTCACTTCGTTAAAGTATTGAAAGGGGACGGACGGACGGACACATTAATCTATTGCAGGCTGGTACACTCAGTTTACAACTTCGTTCCTACCAGTATAAAACATCATATAGAGTTTAGTTTGGCACTTAAAACGGTTCCATTTCAGAAGCAGTTTGGTGTCGAAAAGGCTGTCTCGGTGTCCTGTACCACTGGTGAAAATTGGGATTCGGTCCCGGTTATACATATTCTACTTGTGAATACAGGCAAAGGGCGGAAGTGGGCGGCCTTCGGCAGAGGAGTCGGCAGGACCCATGAGCAGTATATGGGATCAACATCAGAAAGAGCAAAGCCACTCTGTGGACATTCCATAAAGATATTTTTATTTCACTTTGGAAGGATGACGGCATGAGTTGACTCCCAGTTGGGAATTGAAATCGACATTTCAATAGTAATTTCAGTGCTTTGCCAAAACGCTTATGTGATCCCTTTGACCAGTAGATATATTTATACATTGTCTTCCCGAGAAACAATATTTCAGAGCTAGGGTCAGGCGAATGAAAAAAAATCACCGGTGTTAATTTATCGTGGTGACCAGTTTTTGTATGCTTTAGCACAAACCTTCAGTAGCCAGCGAACGGGCTGAACGCTTGTTCGAACGTGTCGACTCTCAGGCATCAGTGCCACCTCGGAGGACAACCCCAACAAGACGGAGGACCTGCGCTCGGAGTGCGACTCGGACTTCGGGGGAAAAGACTCCATGACGAGCCCCGAGACCGAGGAGGCTGGGCGCGGTGCGTTTCCTCTCGGTCCTTTCATTCCGCAGCCTCTTCACCTTTTGTCCACCCACTGTCGTGAGCCAGTCACTCGGTTACATATAACGATGCAATGCCCGATCCACGAATACGAAGGAGACATCACAGGCGATACACTCCGCTGCTCCTGATGCGTTTATCTGGCCTGACCACCTGAATGTGAAATTGTAGTTGCTCTGCATCTACATCAGCCATACCAAAGGAGAAGACGACCCGGTTACATCTCTGCTCTGATATTGGTTGTAAATCCCTCTTGTCAATCCACCGCTGGATGAATGCGGATCTCCCCATGTCCTACAAGTTGTGGGGTTTTTTGACCATACGTTGCTGGTCGGTGGGTTGGTGAAGGTTACAGTGGGGGAGGGGTTGTGTAGTGGTTAGCGCTATGCTGCGCTACGAACCCAACAACCCGAGTTTGATTCCCGCTCACAGCCACCAACACCAGTGACGATTATCTGCAGACCGGGTCTTGGGCCTCTCCTAGGTCGGCTCGGGCTCAAATGAGTACCAGGTGCGGTGTGTAAACATCACTAGGGAAACACAAAGGCGGTTTGGTGTGGAACTGGCCAACCACCCCTCATGTTCTCTGCCAGCCTTTGTAGGTGGTCGCGTACAGCACTTGCCTTAAAAGTGTTAAGGCTATACGGGGGGGTGGATCTTTGTCTTGTGCGTGCAGGTCCTCAGCAGCTGACCTCCTCTTCATCCCAAATCGAGTCCATCCTCTCCATATTTGATCCGCTCAACCTGGCAGACGGTGAGAGGGATGGACGCAACTAAAAAACAAAGCAGACTTTTGTATGCTTAGGGTCATTACTGACCGGAACTGAACTGATGACAGAGAGGTGAATTAGAGTTGGATGGAGCACATTTGGAAAGCTGGACTCGATAATGAAAGCGTTATTCCATTGCGCTAGAAGAAACAAGTTTTAGAATTCCCTCGCATGAAATGTCCTCTGGATAAAGCCATCAATGGAGACCCAATAAAGACATAAAAAAACGCAAACAGCTCTTCTTTTCTAATCATAATACTACACCTGGGTGTTCTGACCTGTCCTAAACCAGTTTGGAGCTTTGTTAAAGAGATAATTTACTTTAAAATAAGTCAGATGCTGCAATTATAACCCGGCCGTGACATTACCCCGATGTCACGCGTACATTTAAAAAAGTGTCAATGCAGGGCCGTTACTTACTTAAGCATCTTCACAATTATTTTAAAGTCTTTATCATTAAGAGTATGAATTGCGTGTTAGGAGAGCTTGGGACACACATTTTTAGGTCCTATTTATGATAAGATTCACCTCCTAGCAATTGTATGAATTGCCACGATTCAGGGTAGGTGTTCTGTTGAAGAATCGATTCTTTTTTGTCTTGGATTTTACCATCTCACCTGTATTGTGTCTCATTTTTTTTATTTATCACTTAAACAGTTTGCCTAAAAGTAACATTCATTAAATATTTGCATGAATCGTAATGAATCCATTCTAGCGCTCACAATTTGGTACAGTATCGTACACACGAGAACTTGAGTTTAGCAAACTAATTGGCGCCACCGTAACATGCTTATCGGACGACATACATATTCATCAGAAGATAGCTCCTCAATCTTTCTTGGGCTGCGTCTTCTTCCTTTTTGTAAAGCTGTGCTTTGTGCCGTCGTCACGAGACAGGACCACCCGTGGTGCGGCCCAGGATCCAGGTGTCGCGCCCGGAGCACTCATCCCCGTCCGAGCCATTCCTCACGGATGCAGCCGGCAATGCCGGCGGGGGGGACGGGCAGCCCGGGCACGGGGGACAGCACCCGACTGCGCCCGGTGGTTTCTGCGACGCTCCTTCCGCCACTGCCTCTGGTGGGGCACCGGGCGCTTACGGTGGCTTCGTGCCACCACCACTGCCGCCACTGCAACCGTCGCAGCAGGTGCAGCAGCAGCAGCAGCAGCAACAACAGCAGCAGCAACAACAACAACAGCAACAGCCCTACCAGTTCACGCCATCGCAGGTGCACTTCTCCCCCCAGCTGCACGGTGGCTCGGGACAGACGCAAGTTCACTTCCAGACGCAGCATCACCAGCAGGGCGACGGGGATGCGGCTGCAGCTGCGCAGGCGGCGATGCCTCACCCCGCGGCGCCATCACCACCCCAGCATCACCATCACCACTACCAACAGCAACAGCAGGCGGCGGTGGTTGCGGCGCAAAGGCCATTTGGGTGGAAGTCGGCGTTCGAGCGGCCGCAGACCGTGCGGGAACGCTTCACGCAGTTCGTGCGGCCGCGCAGCTCGGAGGGGACAGGCGGGCCTCCTGGCCGGGACGGCTACCCGCGGAGCACGAGTACGTTTGCATATCGGTAGTGCGACGGTGCCAGCGAGACGGAGCGGGGCACGTTAGCCCGGCCAGACAGATTGAGAGATTGCCTTTATTAGTAACCGAGCGAGAGCCCATAGAGACGAGGGCCGAATAAATTTGCTTACTCTTTTTTTTTAATCAGTTGTGTAAAAGTGCCTCTGCACAAATGAGCATGAGGTGGTGCTTATTGCCATTAGCAGCCCTTAGCCATTACTATAAATTGCACAGTCCTATGGTGGAGCCTGTTTCTCTGTAACATGACCGCTGTGGCTTTCCGCAAAATGGTACACGTATTGAACTGTACTCCTGAATGGAATTTGAACTCGTGACCTTTTGATGACGCATAGAGCACTTGAATCACACCGCCGCACATTCATTCATAATAATTTGTCCTTTATTTACTTGGCAATGTCTCACTTGAGTCTCAATAGCTGGTGTAATCTGGAGGAAACTTGGGGGATAGCAACCTCTGCACAAATAGCTTCCCAGCAATGAACTTGCTTTACTACGATAGATTGACCACCTCGAAGCACTGCTGATGGGAGACTTGCATGCGCAATAGTCTCCACACAATCCACCAACCCCGCGTTCAAAGCACTGGATTACAGGCGTGCATCGTCTACTGGTTTGGCACACTTTTGGCTTGCATATATAACTAGGAATATAACGAGGATTATTCATCACTCAACGTTTAACAGATAATCATTAACAGGCTCTCACGAGGTTTCCAGTTCTAAGTAGCAGAAATTCACAACTAAAAGTATGCCTCTTGCGTGCGCTTATTTGAGCATTTAAAGGACGTCTTTGTAAACTTTAAAAATCTCCCTTGTCTTGGCAAATTAGTTCTGCGTCATTTGTTCCATGAGCTGCAATGTAACCTTTGCATTGAATATTCAGAAATACAAAGCAGCCAGTGGCTTCGCACGCTCTTCCATTCGCATAAACCCCCAAGCTTGCTCATCCGAATCTTCTGCATATTTTGCCATGTCAACTTCACCTACCCCACGCCCCACCCTCCCCACTGTCCCTTTCGCCCCCCCCCCCCCCCGCCTTTTCCGGTGGAATAGATAACAAAGATTCAGTATTTCGATTTAAAGCTTTCGTGACTGCAAGGATTCATCGTCTTGGTCCTTTCGGTAAAGTCACGTAGAATGAGAATAAAACAATAAAACAAAATAAGATAATAAAATTCTCACGACGTTTCGGCCACAACACAAAGTAGCCTTCTTCAGGTGGGGAGAGACAGGTCTGTATTCGAGCTCTGTCTTCCATACAGACCTGTCTCTCCTCACCTGAAGAAGGCTACTTGTGTTGTGGCCGAAACATCGTGAGAATTTTATTGTCTTATTTTGTTTTATTGTTTTATTCTCATTCTACGTGACTTTACCGAAAGAACCAAGAAGAAAAAAAGATTCATTAATTTTACGTAGCATATATTGATGATTGTTACATGCATGCACTAATTGTTGCACGTAGCTTGAGCGTGGTGTGCTAATCATTACCTGCCTGACGTTGTCACTGGAAAGGTACACAATGGAAAGCTGTCTTAGCCTTGTTGGCCTCTCGCCTGCACTCACGCCCGCACGCCCAGCAGGTCTGGGAGCGCCTCTGGGCCAGGGATTGGCCAGCGCGGCCCGGAGGGGCCCGGGTGGCGAGGACGCGGTTGGGCCCTCCCTGAGTTGGTCGCGAAGGCCCGTCAACTCGGAGGAGAGCTCCCTTCACCACGCCTGGACCAAGCGCACCACTTTCGCCGGTAGCAGACCCACACCTCACTCCCCCGCACCTCCGATTAGCATGGTTGGCTGCGTTACGGTGCGAGAGCAGTACTCCGTACATACGTACTCACCGCCGTCACTACGTTGCTCTAGTTAATGATGCGAGCATCAATTGGTTTAGTGTTACATATTTCACGGTCTCGGCGATGATTCATGAACGTTGTCTTCATATCCACGTGTGTGTATTAATCGTGGGTCAGATTGAGTCTTAATAGAGTATTGCGTAAAAGTAATTTTTAATGTATGCCATTGCTCCATCAGTTGCGGAAAATAAAAATCCTGAATCAGCATCTTCACTCATAAAGTAAAAATGTTGTTGAAACCCATAGTAATAGGACATCAGAGCAAATCTTGGTTAGGGTTAACTCAGCCCATCATTCATCCAGTTATCAGAAAGTTCACACCACAGTTCGGAAAATCGACAACAATGGACATCCCTATGATATAGGTTTTTTTGGGTTAGATCACTTAAATACAAATGTGTCGTTAAACCCGCCACCATCCGACACGGCCAATTAGTAAGGTCTGTCACGTAAACAGAACATGCCAATTCGTTACGAGTACAGCACACCGGTGTGCTGGAGAGCCAATAAATATTGTGGATTTACAAACCTAACTAATTGGCTGTGGTCAGGTGTTGGCGGGTTTAACGACAATTTTATTTATGCGATCTAACCCAAAAAAACCTACATTATGGATGATATTGTCCTATGGAGGCTGTTCCCGGCCATAAGAATATGGAATCACCACCACGTGTTGACGGCGGCCAACACATACGATCGCAATCCTTTACATGTATGAGCAGGGAGACACTCCGATGTTTGTTGTTTTTTTTTTGGTCCAGGCGATGAAGCCATGCTGGCTGCCTCTTCCTCGAACTGGGGCATCCGCCGTGGCGGTGGCGGCGGCGGCGGTGGAGCGAGCGGCGGCGGCGGTGGCCGGGAAGAGCTGGGTCGAGAGCTCCCTCTCGGCTCCGAGGCTCGCAACAGCGTGGCCGAGCCGTCCGGCCCGGGCGTCGGCTCTGCGTCCGGTTTGTCGTCCGGGTCAGCGGGCACGGGAGGTCACATGGCCGGCTTGTTGCCCTCCGAGTCGCCGCACGACGACGGGGGCCATTTCGCGGCTGTTTCGGACCAGGTGCGTCCGCCGTTGGCATGCCGAGACTACGTTTGGCCGAGACGTCGTGTGCCTTGTGTTGTTTTTTTTCAATGTCTTCTTAGCAGTTCGCGGGGTAGTAGAGACGTGCGTGCAAATTTGAGTTTGCACTTCACACGGTGTGGCCTTAATGTTCAAGTTGACAAGTGGACTGCTCTGAATCTCTCGGTTTTCTCTCTACACTGAAGAAAGACCATTTCCTGAAACTGTAGCCTATTAAATAGTTTTCTTGTAATAACACGGTGTATAGTGGTGGAGCAGTGGCATAGTGGCTCTTGAACTTCACTTGGGGTCCCAACCTTGACTAAGCTCAGTGATGCATAAGATATAAACTGTTCTCTCTACCCCTCCTTCACTGACTCCCAATGACCAGCGTGGGAAAGTATCGTTAAACATACCCCAATGGATGACACGGAAGTGGATTCATAAACGACCGCATATGTATAATAAAATACAGATAAATATAATTTGCATTATTCTTGGTTCTTTCGGTAAAGTCACGTTGAAGGGAAACAATAAAATAATAAAATATATATAAAACAATAAAATGTTCTTGCCGTTGGTTTTCACACCTGATGATGACTGCTTGTGTTGCAGTCGAAACGTCGTGAGAATTTTATTGTTTTATATATATTTTATTATTTTATTGTTTCCCTTCAACGTGACTTTACCGAAAGAACCAAGAATATGAAGCACTGCAGTCACGAAAGCTTTAAATCAAAATATAATTTGCATTGTAATAAGCAAATAAAATCAAGCAAATCCTGATGTTGTTGATCCCACTCAGCTGCGTCCTATATACCCAGGAAGGAAAGGTTAGGGGTGAATGCGTTGTGTTTTTTGTATGCGAGTATTCCTGTGCAATACCAGCTTGTCTTGTCGTCTCGTGTTGGCAGTCTGATGACAGAAAGGACAGTGATGATGAGAAGTCCGACAAAAGCAAGCCGTGGTGGAAAAAGAAGCTGTCGGCCATCCAGAAAGGTAACGGAGCGTCCAGTCAGTTCGAGGAGAGCCTCCTGTGAAAGGATGCTCCATTTCATCCATCAGCTCGGGCGCCTTCTGTGAGATCCGTATATACGGTGGATTAGCAGTGATTGTCAGCGAAGGTCGCTCCATCCACCATTGTGACCTCTGCTTTAAATCAGGTTAGCTCCCACTACCCCGGCGGAGAGATCTCATACCTGTCAACCCATACGGGTTAGCCGCAGTCTTGTACATGGAAATTGAGTTTTCAGGTCTATACGGCGTACAGCCGTTTTAATACGGGCAAACAAAACGTGTTTTAGTATCATAATTTTTGTCTATTTGTTTGCGTTTCTCCCTTGTGATGGGAGGAAAGTTGAGATGTGTAAGGGCACGGGGTGATCAATAAGGTCTGATAAGGTAGGCACTGATAAGGGGTTGACAGGTATGTGATCTACACAGGCTAAATTTATTTTCAAAGCAATCAGTACAGATGTGACACCAAGTTCTTAACATGTCAGGCTCAAAACCCTTGCACTCTTTAAATATGGCGAGGCACAATTCTGCTACATGGCAGCAGAAGTTAATACCAGTTTTGTAGACTGCTCATTCGCTCACAATGCTGTGCAAACCTGGAGGCACGGGGCATCCCTTCTCCAGTTAACAATTCAGTTTAGTTCGGGCAAGGCCTATTGAGCTGATAAACTCTTTGTCGATGGTGACCCTTAGCCCTATCCTCTGAAAACTGGGCTTCTCTGACAAACTTGTAAAGTTTGAGTGCATTTGATTCTATTTGCATTTCTACCTAATTGTATTTAATTTTGCAACCTGCTTTTTTAATCCAGTGTAATTAAAGCATTTGCTAGTACCTTATGATCTGCCGTTGCATGCGGTGACAATGTGTGATTAATTATTTTGTGATCCCTAGCTCTGTACGTGTTTAGTTGTGAAATGCACTGCACAGTCGTCCGTTATCGAGCCAGGCCACCCTTTCAAATACATCATCTCCGTTGGTTCTCACCTGTTGAAATTAAAATCCATTTTAATTTATTTCATACATGACCGCCTCGTACCAGTTTCAACGGTCTACGAGTCCTTTCAGCAAGACCTCGGCAAATGTTACCGGGCATACTGATGTCATGGTCATAGTTTTTGTTTGTCGGTGACAACTGGATCACGTGTGAGATGTAAGGAAATACGTCGCTTGCGTTGGCCATGTGCGGTTGCGCGTGCTGTGAACGGCATTGGGTCGCTCGACCTGTGTTTGTGACGGAGTAGTTTGTGGCTTCTGACAGGCCCCATCAGCTTCAAGAAGAGAGACAGGCAAGAGCGGGAGCGGGAGGACGGGATCATGGAGAACAGGTTTCAGGCCATTCCAGGTTCGACACCGGATGATCTGTCTGGTCTGGCTTGGATGGTCTGTCTGCCACTCACACTTTGTATCCGTACGTCAGACTGTGGGTCCGTCTGTTGGGATTGGTGCCTGTCTGTGTTAGACTTTGTCATACTTTCCGTTTGTCTGTCTGTGTGTATCTGTTGGAATTTTGTGTCCTGCCTCTTTCATACCATGCAATCTTTTTTTTTATGGTTGGTTCTCTGTCCATGTGAAAACCTAAATACATTCCTCTAATTGTGTATTTAGCTCTATAGTACAATCATAATGGTTAGCAGCAGCAGCCATGATCAATCCACTGCTGGATGAAGGCCTACCCTGTATTGGGCATGGGGATTGTTTGACCATACTTTACCATGGTGGTCAATGCAGGTTAAGGAAGAGGATAGGGGCCCAGCACCATTTCTCAGATATCACTTGCCAACTGATGTTAGCAGTGACCAGGAATCAAACTCCTATTGCCAGATCAACAGTGCATACAGTGTGATAACCCACAAAGACACTGTTCAAATTCTGTGGGATGTAGCTGCTCCCAAAAACAAAACACCAACAAGCCGGATAATAAATACAATAGAATACTATTTAGAATTTTTAATAATCTGTGTATGATCATATCTCAAGAATACAATGTGTGTGTATGTATGTGTGGGCAGCACTGGATAGTGGTTGGTGCGCGACGCTATGAACCCAGCGGCCCGAGTTCAATTCTCGGCCATGGCAAACATTTCAGTTTATTTATTTTGGTATAGCCCTGTGAGCCATTCGGCTCTTGAATCGGGTGCAACCACAACAAACAAAAAAACAAAAACACGAACAAGAAAAAACATCTTAAAGTGACTATGTGACTGCGCAAACAGAAAATCCATGAAAAAAAACAGCAAAATATTCCTGAAAAAAAGCACCGTACACCAACGCTGTGTGCAAAAAATCCCAGTAGGATGCAAGTCAAACAACAACAACAACCACAAGAAAACTTAGATTAAGGCCATCAGTCTAACTCCGTACTACAACAAAACAAACATGTCCAAACCAAAAAACTTTTCGAAATTACCAAAAAATAAAGCCATAATTGCAACGTAACAGTGATCACAGGGACTGTGACCGAATTTTTACAATAAACTACATAAATAACATGTAACACCAAATCCTAGAGCCATAGCTGGCTGCATGAGTTACTCCATAACAACAAGCATCAGTCAGAGTATCAAATTTTTTAATGCACCTTTAAGATCAGCACGCTAAATCAAAATACAGATAATACTTTGCAGCGTCATCCGGAGCGAAACATTTTATTTTATGCCAATGAATAGCAGTGGCAGCTAGGGGTGTACAACTCCTCTAGAGCAGTTTTGAGAGAAGATCTCATTGGTAGCGATTCAAGTTGCAGTTTATTGGCAATAGCATTCCAGACCCTGGGGGCATCAATAGCAAAGGCCCTTCCTCCAGTTTTTGTACAGCAATAGGGAATGTGAAGCTGGTAAATGAGCGAAGACCTGAGGTCAAATTTGTTTTTTGAAACAGAGAGGAGATCCAGCAGGTAGTCTGCGGATTTTTTTGTAAGTACATCGTGAATAAATAAGATCTGGTGCACAAGCCGTCGAACATTAAGAGATGTTAAGTTTGACCCAATGTAGAGATCACAGTGGTGAGTCCTATATGGGCAGTTCAATGCAAATCTTAAGGCCGAGTGATAGATGGAATCAAGCTTCTTCAGTACAGTACTTGGGGCTGATTTATACACGATGTCACAGTAGTCAAGTAGAGGCAGTATGGTAGCTTTTATCAATTCCAAACGGAACATTGGGGAGAAGCAGTGCTTGTGTCGATACAGAAAACCAATTTTTATTTTTGTCTTTTTACCAATATAATCAATGTGATTTTCAAAACTAAGTTTTGAATCCAGGATGACCCCAAGATACTTATAGATCTTGACTTGCTCTATTTGATAATTATTCAAGGAATGTAATTGGGGAAAAATAACTTCCTGCTTTAGTCCTGGTCAGAAGCATAGCACCTTGGTTTTGGAGGTATTCAGGACTAGTTTAAGAGCAACTAGCTAATGTTGTAGTTTGTTGAAATCACCCTGTAGCTTAGCAATCACGTCATCCGGAGAGCGGCCAGCAGTAATCAGTATTGTGTCATCTGCAAAAAGATTTACCCTGGAATGATCCAGGTCAGTGCCCAAGTAATTGACATAAAGAGAGAACAAAAGGGGGCCGAGGATGGAACCCTGTGGAATCCCTTTTGTTATCTTAACACTTTTTGACCTCCAACCATCTGTGAATACAGTTTGGGTGCGAGAAAAGAGGTAATTTGTAACCATTTTACTGCGTTTTCGGAAAAACCGAGGCAACTCAGTTTACTAAGCAGGGTGTTGTGGTCTACTGTATCAAAAGCTTTGGACAGGTCTAAAAAAAGACAGGCACAGTACTGCTTATCAAGGCTACTGTAAATGTGATTCAGAGAGTCTAATGCAGCAGATGTGGTGCTGTATTTTTTTCGGAACCCAGATTGTTTTAGATCTTGTAGATTGTTGGTGGACAGGAAACTGCTAATTTGGTAGTTCAATAATTTTTCAAAAATGTTCATCAACAGGGACAAAATTGAGATAGGTCGGTAGTTATTTGGATCATCTTAGGGCCCCCTTTGTGAAGTGGACGGACATAGGAATGTTTCCATTCTAGAGGAACTGATGCTTCTTTGATTGACAGGTTGAAAATATGGGCTATAGGTTTGTATATTAGGTGACCAACAGTTAGTAGAGCAAAGACGGGAATACTATCTGCTCCGGTAGAGGAGGACCTTTTGAGGTAGGACAGTTATTTCAGAACATTACTTTCGTGGATTGGCTGGAAACTAAAGTCGTTTAATGTTTGGACAGGGGTGTAGGAATTTGCATGAGCAGGGGTGACTCCCAATACATTATCAAAAAGATTACCAGCTTCAGAAAAATGAAGGTTAAAATTGTCAACTATTTTTTTGGGATCTGAAAAATATTCCCCATTTCGGTTAAGCTCAACGGGCAGATTGTCTGTTTTGGATGCCTTTTCGATACATTTGATTGTTTTCCAGGAAATCCTGGCATTTCCATGTGATTCCAGGAGAGTGGAGGAAAAGTAGGCATTTTTTGCATGCCGTATTTTTTTGACGCATCTATTCCTTAAAATCCTGTATTCTAGCCAGTCATTGACCAAATTACTTTTCTGAGCACATGCCCAAGCCTTGTCCCTAGTTTTCATAAGCTTTGTAATTAAAGAATCAAACCATGGTGGGCGGTTGCCTTTAGTTTTAAATCTAACCAACGGAGGATGTTTGTTAAGAATTTGGAAAAACGTGTACCTGAAGGTCTCCCAAGCCAAAGTCAGGTTGGGGATATCACAGACCTTGTCAATATCCGAGTGAAGCACATCATTAGTAAATGCCTGAGTGCTGAAGTGTCTCAGAGTGCTTCTCAACCAATTTAGGGGGTGCTTTGGGTTTGGCTGATGATCTCACCCCAAAAATGAAGGAGTGATCACTAAGGTTATTACCCAGAACACCAGTCAGCGTGAAATTGTGAGGGGCATTTGTCAATAGGACGTCAAGCAGAGATGACTGTCCCGGATTTTTTAGGTTGGGTTTTGTGGGGATATTTATTGAAACGGATTAAATTCATTTGCAAAATTTGTGGCCACGGCCGGCAGGTTTAGCCAATTCCAATTTAGATCACCCACTGAAACTAATTCACCTTTAGAGAGGACCCCAAAAAGCTCTCTCAGTGCAGATGCAGCTTCAACATCCTTCCCACTAGGTGGTCGATAGCAGCACACTACCAATATCTGTTGATTTTTTGGTAGAGTTATTTTGAGAGCCAGACCTTCAAAGCAACATTTTTTTAAACAAGGAGTGAGCTAGTGAACATGCAATAGTATTTCGAACATAGATGGCATGTCCACCTCCTTTAGATCCTCGGTCAAGCCGAAAAAGGTTGTAGTTGTCGATCGCAATCTGCAAGTCATTGATGGCAGGAGTGAGATATGTTTCTGTTAGGCAGAAAATGGGGCCCAGTTTTAGTTGACTTAATTTAATCATACCAGCCCTCTGATGTTGACATGTAGAACACCAACACCTTTCCTGCCAGAAAAATCTACAGAATTATACGAGTTATTTTCATTTGGGCCAGGATGAAGCTCAATACCACCCAGAAATAAGAAAAGTAGAATTAATAGTTTCCACAAGTATTTTCTGTGAAAGGATGTAGAGCGGCGAACCTTGGACGAATAGCAGTAGCTCGCAGACGGTGTTATATTTAAGAGCAGAATGAAGTTTGGAACGAGTGCTGGTGAAGTAATGGGAAAAAAATAGGGTTTAAAAGGATACAATGATGGAGTGTAGAAGTGTATGAGCTGTTTCATTAGCAGGTGTAGTGGCAAATCGAGCAACAAGTATGGACGCAAAGTAACGAGGGTAGCTGTTTGTAGAGTTGAGTGTGTCACTAGATATGGCCGGGAGGGACAGCAGTAGGATACACAGCAGGATAATTGCCATCTCTAAAATATCCGGGGTAAACACAGATTAACACACAATCGGAAAAGAAAAAATATATATACTTGTAGGCCGAGCGCGAGAAAACGTCTTGTCGCGCTCGTCACACATGCACGGCTTCTCGCCCATGTGCTAGGGTTGAACAGTGCCCCCCCCCCCAAGACAGGGACAGCAGATTTTTGGCTGTTGTGGGCTCGGCTGAACCGCTTGCACCACTTCCTTTCCCCGCCGCAGGATGGTGCTCGAGCTAGCCCTCCTTGAGCTCAGCCCACGACTGAAATATCGTTTCTTGGACTCTCGTGTCTCTGCTGCCCGACCAGGCGGCCCCACTGAAGCCCACACAGGGGACTCTTGGCCATCTTGACGATCTCCGTGAAGTTCTCCAGGAACATAGCTTGGGGTCCGTCGCAATGTTGCCTTGGCAGGAACATAGCTTGGGGTCCCTCGCAATGTTGCCTTGGCAGGAACACAGCTTGGGGTCTGTGGCAATGTTGCCTTGGCAGGAACACAGCTTGGGGTCCATGGCAATGCCGTCTTGGCAAGAACACGGCTTGTGGTCCGTCGCATTATTAACTAGGCCTCACTCAGGCTGTGCCATGGGCGCGATCAACCAGGCCTCACTCAGGCTGCACCTTGTGCATGATTAACCAGGCCTCTCTCAGGCTGCGCCAGGTGCATGATCCGCCAGGCCTCACCCAGGCAGTGTCATGTGCACAACCAGGCCTCACTCAGGCCGCGTCACGTGTATGACCAACTAAGCCTCACTCAGGCTGCGCCTTGTGCATGATTGACTAGGCCTCACTCAGGCTGCGCAAGGTGCACAATTAGCTAGGCCTCAGGCAGTGTCACATGCGCAATTTTCTAGGCCTCACTCAGGCTGCGCCATATGCGCGATTTACTAGGCCTCAGGCTGCACCACGTGTATGATTAACTAGGCTTCACTCAGGCTGCTCCAGATGCACGATCAGCTAGGCCTCACTCAGGCTGCGCCAGGTGCACGATCCGCCAGGCCTCACCCAGGCAGTCTCATGTGCACAACCAGGCCTCACTCAGGCCGCGCCACATGTATGACCAACTAAGCCTCACTCAGGCTGCGCCATGTGCGCGATTTACTAGGCCTCAGGCTGCACCACGTGTATGATTAACTAGGTTTCACTCAGGCTGCTGCAGATGCACGATCAGCTAGGCCTCACTCAGGCTGCGCCACGTGCACAATTAACTAGGCCTCACTCAGGCTGCGCCACGTGCACGATTAACTAGGCCTCACTCAGGCTGTGCCATGTGCACGATCAGCTAGGCCTTACTCAGGCTGCGCCACGTGCACGATTAACTAGGCCTCACTCAGGCTGCGCCAGGTGTACGATCAGCCAGGCCTCACTCAGGCTGTGCCAGGTGCACGATTAACCAGGCCTCACTCAGGCTGCGCCAGGTGCACGATTTACTCGGCCTCACTCGGGCTGTGTCATGTGCAGTACTACCTAGGCCTCACTCAGGCTGCGCCAGGTGCACGATCAGCTAGGCCTCACTCAGGCTGTGCCACGTGCACTATTAATTAGGCCTCACTCAGGCTGCGCCAGGTGCACAATTAACTAGGTCTCACTCAGGCTGCGCCAGGTGTACGATCAGCCAGGCCTCACTCAGGCTGCGCCAGGTGCACGATTAACCAGGCCTCACTCAGGCTGCGCCCGGTGCACGATTTACTCGGCCTCACTCAGGCTGTGTCATGTGCAGTATTACCTTGGCCTCACTCAGGCTGCGCCAGGTGCATGATTAACTAGGCCTCACTCACGCTGCTCCAGGTGCACTATTAGCTAGGCCTCACTCAGGCTGCGCCAGGCGCACGATCTAGCTAGGCCTCACTCAGGCTGCGCCAGGTGCATAATCAGCTAGGCCTCACTCAGGCAGTGTCATGTGCACGACCAACCAGGCCCCACCCAGGCCGCACCAGGTGCACGATCAACCAGGCCTCAATCAGGCTGCGCCAGGTGCACGATCAGCTAGGCCTCATTCAGGCTGTGCCACGTGCACTATTAACTAGGCCTCACTCAGGCTGTGCCAGGTGCACTATTAACTAGGCCTCACTCAGGCTGCGCCAGGTGCACGATTAACCAGGCCTCACTCAGGCTGCGCCAGGTACACACACGAGCGCACATCACACCATCACACACGCACACGAGTGTACACCATCACACACACACACACACGAGTGCACCACCACTCAATCACACACACACAGTGCACATCACTACACCATCACACACACACGAATGCAGAAGTCCCTCTCGTCACGGCCACTCTCATATGGCTCACCCTAACACGGCTCACCCTCGCACGGCTCACTCACACACACGGCTCACTCACACGCAGCTCACACACAGCTCATTCTCACTCACATTTTCACACATTCTCACGCACAGTTTACACTCACGCAAAACAACTCGCAAAAACAACTCGCACGCTGCTACAGACGCCGCCACCGCCATCTTGCTGGGGGAGCTGAGTACTATCAGAATCAGTCTCAGGCCTCTCCTGGATTGACTAAGCCTTACATGAGTACTTGGTTTGGCATGTAAAAATCAGCACTGCTGAGACAAAGGTGGCCGGAATTGGTGCTGGCTACACTACCCCCCCCTAATGTGCTATGCCAGCCTTTATAGGTGCTCTTTAACAACACTTGCCCTAACTGTGTGGCTAAAAGGAAATTATCTGTCTGTGAGTGATGGGGAGGGAGAGGTGGTGCTTTAGTTAAAGGGAAACCCAAGCTCGTGTTTGCTAAGCAGTGTCAGGTATAAGGATCTCTCCCGTGAACGCGTATACAACAGCTGCACGGGGCGAACTTGTGGACAGCAGTCTGTCAAAGGCTACGCGGCAGATCTTTGTCTTGGTTAATGTAGTGTGCGTGTTGCCCTCCCTGTTCAGACGAGGCAATGCAGGCCCTGCCAGTGGTGGGCCCGCAGACATTCGCCGCTGATGACATCCTGGACAAGTACCGCAGCGCAATCAAGCGGGCGAGTCCCAGCGAGGAGCAGCACAACGGTATCGGCTGGGTGCTCTGTGTCTGTGTGCATCTGTTGGAGTGAGCGAGTGGATGTGTTTTGTGGGTATGTCGATGTCTGTGGGTGTATGTGTGTGTGTGTGGGGAACGGTAGTGTAACGGTTCGCGCGCTGCACTACTAACACGGCGAGCCGAGTTCGATTCCCGCTCATGGCCAGCACCAGTGACAATAATCTAAACCGGTCCTGGGCCTCTCCTAGGTCGACTCAGCCTCAAATGAGTACCTGGTGCAGTGTGTAAACATTGTCACTCAGGAGACCGACCCCCTCGTGTGCCGTGTCGGCATTCATAGGTTCGCGCTAACAGCACTTGCCCAAACATTCTGTTAAGGCTATACGGGGGATCTGTGTCTTTATAATGCCGTGGTGACGTCACTGCCGCTTGGTGGCGAACGGCGGTTGTCGTCGTTGTATCATAGTGGTTAACCGCACTGCGCTACAGACACGGCGGACTTGGTTAGATTCCCGGCCACGGCTAACAGTGGCGAGTGATATCTGAACCGATCCTGGGCCTCTGCTAGATCGACTCGGACTTGGCTCACTCTTTATTGGGAGACACCTGCACAAGAACAAATATATTCTCCGCCACCCATGAGACAAGACACGGATCGCTTGTCATACGTTTTTTTTTTTAAGGGGTAAAGTTACTTTCTTGGCCTAGTTGTCTCTGCTAGCGTTTATCTTTGTTGATCGGCCTGAGCCAATGTGTACAATTCACTTTTCCAGTGGTGGTTCCAGTCTCTTCATTGCGCAATCACTGTTGGCTCCCAGCCAAACGGTACTGAAATTATTGGTACCCTGGACGAATCGTGGGGCGAGTCGGTCCCTGATTCGGATCTGAACTTGTAACCTTCGGATTTTGAAACACCTCACCACATGATCGGACATATTATGCTAATTATTTACAACTCGTACGATTGGTTATGACAAGATCACATCATTTACTGTCAGATCAGAACTGCTGGGTTATGACCGTTGCCGTTTGATTAAGCCCAACTAAAACTTCCCCAGGTCCTTAAACCCCACCCACGTGTGTGAGTGTGAACCTCCGAGCACACCTTTGGCCCTGAGGTTTTTGAACGAGATCCGTCTCTTTGTTGTGCAGAGGCAGCGGCGGATGGGGACATTTTCCAAGAGTCTCCCCGTGACGAGGGTGCGCTTAGCCTCTCGGCCGACGACCTCCCAGACTCGGCGAGCCAGACGGCCCTCCCTCGGCACTCCTCCTTCACCTTCAGGTGTCCTGACTCCCTTGCACAAAGTGCCATTCAGCCTTTTGTGTTGGAGTGTGGTGGTAGAGATGCAAATTACAATATTCATGATTGCTTCCATTAATCGATGAAATAAAAATTTGCGTCGAATTTGCATATGATTGGAATAAATGATGTTAACGCTCGACTCAAAACGTGTTTGAAGCACAGGATTTCATGGTTTTGATGGCGTCATTATCATCATCACTAGTCATTGGTATATCACGCTGAGTGTGAACTTTGAGTTTATCGTGTTTTGGAAACCAACTGCCTATCGTCCGTTTTAAAATGCCTGCCGATTAATCCGTTATCATAAATATATGATTGATTTCACCCTAGAGCCTTGCGCTAAATTGGGTTATCTTATGGAGAGTGGTGACACAGTGCTTGGCACAATGCACGACAATCCTGGTGACTTACGTTTAATCCCGGCCAAGGCTTATATCGGTGGCAGGTGGTATCAAACGTGTCCCGGGCCTTTCTAGGTCAACTCGAATTTAGATTAGTATTTGGTATGGTGTGTAAACATCAGATGTGCGGGCACAAAAGCGGTCGTCGGGCATCGTGTTGCTAACTAAACACTTTCCGAGACAAAATTACGTAAGGAAAGCGTTTGGTTTTTGCGGAACCTGTGCGAACGCACGTTGTTGTTGTTTTTTCCCCCCGCCCATTGTTCTTCGTGCAACTCCCCCGCTCGTTGGCGCCGTCCTCGTGGCCATCGTCGTTGTCGTCGTCGTCATCAGAGATGCCAAGAAGAAGTTACGTCTGGCGCTGTGCTCGGCCGACATCATGGCCTTTCCGTTGCTGTCGGCGCCCGCTGTGCGCAACGGCCCCTTCCCGGCCGCCGAGCACTTGGACCCCGAAGGTCAGCGGCACCGGCGCGGGTCGCCTTGAGTGGCCGTGACAGTGGTGAAATCGGTCTGTCCGGCGTGCTTGCGCAGCCGACCGCATTGTCGGTAATGCTACGCAAATGATAGATCAGCGAAGTTGCTTATCACGTGAACATTTGTTGCAGCCAAAAACCTTAAACGCACGTTGTTTCTAAATGTGGAGGGGGAAACCGGAGGACCTGGAGAAAAATCCACACGACCACAGGGAGGGAGATATGCAAACTCCAAATATAAAGGTGTCAGGGTCAGGACCGGGTTTCAGGAGGTCATCACCGCCAATGCCGCGGATGCCATCAAACCTTCCCATTTCAATTCCTCGAGATGTATCTCCAAAGCTGTTGCAAAGTTGACACCAATCTATGTCAATGATATATTCAGTGTATCACCGTAGCATCACGAATGTATGTCCCTGTATTAGAAAAGTCTGCTGTTGTGGAAACCAAGATGTGTTTAAACGAATGGATTGATGCTAGAGGGAGCAAAGAACTTTGTTGCAATCGTCAAGTTGATTAACCCGATGCATCATCGTCATCATCATATGCAGATTTCCTTTGAGACCTCTTGCTCAGTGGGTTCTTACCGTTGTAAATTGTGTCATCTGTCTATCCTCTTAAGGTCAGCCGCCTAATGCCACTACCCTCTAACCTTCCAAAGATAATTTTGCTTCCGGTGCAACCCAGTCTTTCGATATTTTCTCGGCTCTACCGGAGCGTGACCTTTGCACACAGACGCAAGGATGGAACAGCCGCTTCAAGAAGTTATCATTAATAATGACCGTGAAAGCAGAACAAAAACATTTTGCTACGCGGCTGCATTATTAAAACTGTTGCGTGGGTGTGCATGTGTTATGAAAAAGTAGCATTGTGGTACGTAGTGGCCCGTAGCACGTTCGGCACAGGGCCCCCGGCTGTTGGGAACAAAAAAGGGGCCCTCCCGTCCAATAATTCATCGCTTGTCACAGCCCAGCACCCGGGGCCCCTCCAGCCCACGGGCTCCGGCGTGGCTGCTTCGCGCACCGCCCGCGCACTCGATCAGCCGCCCACTCCCCCTGGCGGTACGCACAACTCTTCGGCCCGCTCCGTGTCTTTTGCAGACAACGAGATCGTGTGCTTCCTGAAGGTGCAGCTCGCCGAGGCCATCCACCTGCAGGACAAGAGCCAGATAGCGCAGCTGCAGGAGACGCTGCGCTGCGTCGCGCGCTTCGACAACCGCACCTGCCGCAAGCTGCTCGTCGCCATCGACGACGACTACAGGTGAAAGCGCCCAGCAACACGTGGCTCAGCCGGCCCGGAGGGAAGAGCGGTCACGGTTCGTCCGTCCCCCTCCATGTTCGCCTGTCGGCCTGCGTCTTACTGTCTTGGTAGCTGCGTGACTTTCCGTCTCGTCTGTGTGCCTTCCCGACTTTGTCTCTTTACATGCTTGACGTATGTCTTTAACTGCCTGACTTTGGACTTTGCGGTCTTGTGTCGCCGCTTGATTTTGCTGTGCGTCTTGTCTGCGTGCACGATTTCCCAACATGGCCCACCTGCCGGTGTTGATTTTACTTCTCCTCTTTGCCTACCAGCCTGCAGTCAGATCCGCTCTGTTTTTTTCTGCCTACCCCCACCACCACCTTACCTGTTTCCCTTTTTTGTGCGCTCGTCTGTTATCCAGCTGTGCCTACTCTTGCTGTCTGTGCTTGTATGCCTTGTCGTCAATCTGGCCTACACGTGATACAAGTTTTTTTTTTTTTTTTTGCCGGGCGGGGGTTTTGGGTCGCACTCAACCCTGCAGGCGGCGGGCGCCGTACATCGCGTACCTGACGCGCTGCCGCCAGGGCCTGCAGGCGACGCAGGCGCACCTGGAGCGCACGCTGCAGCGCGTGCAGCGCGACAAGGACATCTCCACGCGCTACTTCACCGCCGTGTGCGTGCGCCTGTTCCTGGGGCGGCGCGAAGACCGCGTGCTCGCCTTCATCGATGGTGAGCGGCGCGGCCGGCGGCATCTGGCGACTCCCGTGATCGTTAATTAGGGGGGGGGGGGCGGGGTGAACTCGTGAATTCGGTGAACGATGGAGCGAGCGACTGAATGCATGAGGAGGAGGAGGTGTGGTGACCTCACGATTGATAATCGGGCAGCATTTGTTTTGACGAGCCTGACCCTGTTGATGAGGCTCAGAGGGTCAAGCGGTCCAAGAGTTTGCTCGCTGAAACAAATGCTGCTGTATAATATTGGTCTGGACAGCATTTGTTTTTTTTTATATGTGGATATGTTTGGCATAGAATTCTGCTTATACATTCTTTTTACCCTGTATGCTCCCTAACAATCTAGATTTGAAGCTTTCGTGACTGCAGGAATTTCTCTATGGTTCGTTCGGTAAAGTCATGTCGAAAGAAAATAAATTAAATAGTAATATAATACGACGTTTCGATTGCAACACAAGCAACCGTCATCAGGTAAGAATGATTGAGAAAACAAAGTTAGAAATATAATGCAATACGACACAGAGAGAGTCGGCTAAGACAACAGTCAACACCCTGCCTGGTTGATTACGTTCTTCCAAAGATCGCTAAATTTGAGAGAGAGGCAAAACAAAGACACGGAGACACATAGACAGACACACAGTCAGAGAGAGACACACAGAAAAACAATGCCTCTGTGTCGAGGCCTTAAATAGAGAGAGGGGGGGGTTGTCTCTCTCTCTCTCTCTCAAATTTAGCAATCTTTGGAAGAACGTAATCAACCAGGTAGGGAGGGTGTTGACTGTTGTGTTATCCGACTCTGTGTTGTATTGCATTACATTTCTAATTTTTTTTCTCATTCATTCTTACCTTATGATGGTTGCTTGTGTTGCAATCGAAACGTCGTATTCTATTATTACGAAAAAAAATTCTCCCTAACAATGTTGAATAATTAATTGAATATATCAATGAGTGATTGAACAATCAGATTAATTACTGAATGAATTACTAAATTAATAAACTGATTTATTGAATTCATGATGATGCATTGTTAATTAAATTAACTGATGAATGAACGATTGAATGTATGTATGTGTGATGAATTAATAAATCAACTGATGAATGCCTGAATGATTAACGGCGAACACCACACATCCCCTCTGCTCCATCACTATCGCTTCCATGGCCTACACACCCTCTGGCACAACCATCCCCACCACCTCCACCGTCTTGTCAACCCCACCCACCACCAACATCACCACCTCCAATGCCTCCATCTTCACTACATCTGCTGCAACAACCACCACCACCACCACCACGTCCATATTCACCACCCACTCCCATCAATACCACCTCCAACATCGCTGCCATCCACGCCACTACCACCGCCGCCTCCACTCGCTCCTGCAGAGTTCAAGGGTCTGACGGCATCGGACGAGAAGACGGCGGTGGTGTCGGACTTCCTGGAGTCCCTGTACGGCGCCATGGCGCAGGACGTGATCTGGCAGCACGCGAGCGAGGAGCAGCTGCAGGATGCGCAGGTGGCCATCGAGCGCAGCATCATGAGCCGCATCTTCCGCCTCGCCTTCTACCCCAACCAGGACGGCGACATCATGCGCGACCAGTGAGCAGGGGTGTGGGGGGAGGTTGCGGGAAAAGGGTGGGGGGAAGGAGAGTAGGGGTCGGGGGGGGTGGTGCAAGTATCTAGGGCCAGGAGTTTCTAAAAATATATATATAAATCTTGGCTTAAGTTGAGTTCTTTACAATCAATGTCTCATCAAAGCCCCCGGCCAAACTCCTCCGCACCTGCACATGTTAACGTGATGACATGACCACAGTTCTAAAATCCTCCCATTGGCTCCCAAGCCTGCCTTGAATGAATTGCAAGATTGCCCTAACCATCTTTAACATCCTACATTGACCTTTTCCCAGGTTACCACTACCCACTTATCTCACTATTACTCTCCACTTCCCACTCAGCTCCAAAATGTACTCTCTGCTTTTGAAATCAAGGTGTTCTGTTTTCAATCTTTGCTCAGTGGGAGGTCACACGTTCTCCTCTGCTGCTCCATAGTCTGGAACTATATTCGCCCAGCCGGCTGTGCTGTTGACTTCCTGTTCAAGCTCGGGCTGGAGACCTTTTTTTTTTTCCGCAGCCTATGAACAGCCTCTCCGTATAATATTAATATGTGAATGTCTCTTGAGATGCAGTCGCGTATGTCTGCCGTATGATTTCAAATTGTGTTGTCTTGGAGACGAATATTCCTTATCAGCCAGCCTTCTGAAAGTTTGCTGATGGCTCCATTGAACATCAAGGGAGGGGGAAAGAGCCAAGACAGGGTGTTTGACTAGAGGGCAGTGCAGCACATTCTACGGTTGTACTGTACTATTATGCTCCTACATCTCTTCTCCCCGCCCTCAACAACACACACTGACCAGCATGGTGAAGTACGGTCAAACAAAACTCCCATGACTGACGTGGTCTGGAGCAGACCTGCTTCCAGCAGTGGATTCACAAAAGAGTTGAACATGTACATAACCCAATGACGTTTGCTGCTGCTGCTTGTGTATGATGTGGGTTTGGCCAAAGCACAGCTCTTGTCAGCGGTTGCTTTGTTTATCCAAATATGTTAAAGGACGTGCGCTTACGTGTGCTTGCTTACTCGCGCGTGCGCACACGTGCGTAATGCCTCGGGGAGCGGTAGTGTCGCGGTTAGCACTACGCTGCACTAGGAACCCAGTGAACCGAGTTTTATTCCCGCTCACGGCCAACACCAGCTACGATTATCTGAACCGGTCCTCGGCTTCAAATGAGTTCCTTACGCGGTGTGTAAACTTTGCCACTGGGGAGACAAAGGCGGTCGGGCGTGGTGCTGGCCTACGCACCACCTCGGGTGCCGTGCCTTCCGAACATAGGTGCTCGTCAACGGCACTTGCCTGGAAAGGCTGTTAAGGCTATGCGGGGGATCTTTGTCTTTGTAGTGTCTGGGTGTGGCCGTAAGTGTGGGTGTGTTTGGATGTGCGTGCGGTACGCTTCGGGGTGTGTGGTTGATTAGGGTTCGTATTGGATGTGCGTGTGTGCGGTGGGCTGTGTATGTGTGCGTGTGTTTTTGGTTGAGGGCGTGCGCGCACGCACCTTTGCGCCCGCGTGTGTGGGCTCGTGCATGTGTGAATTGGAATTGCCAAATTAAAATATTTTATGGGGCCAGGTCGCAATATTAAATGCCGCACCTATAGTTAAAAACCATACATGCTAAAATAGCTGTTGGAACAACTATTTTACAATACCCACTAAATAAAGGGCCCCGGTGGTTTTATGTTCATACACCGCAGTTTGTCATAGATGTTTCAATTATATGAAGTTGAAAGTCCTTTATTTACTTACGAAAGCTAGTACGGTGTTTCACGATTTTCCTAAAAACCTTGTGTGAGATGTATTCCCATGTCCATGTTAGTGTCATTCCATGGGCTTCAACGTATTTGGATGGGGTTTAGCACCTCCTAAATTGACAGATCTTGGTCAGCAACCAACGTGCCTTCCACAAACCACCTCTACTGGTTGACACCTCGCCAACGTCTTGGTTCCGTCTGTGTGATCCACTAACCTGGCCTCCACACCTGAAACAATGAATAGCAAGTGTGTTTTTTTTCCTCGAATAGAAAGCACTTCTCCGTTGCGTCACGAAGTTTGGCTGATAGCACAACACAGCCTGACCCTTTTGAGCTTGCGTCCGCCATGAATGGTCCCTGGTCGAGCGCGAGGTGGGAGCCTCACCCACTGACTTGGAGCGTCTCTCTCACGCAGGCTCTTCCATGAACACATCCAGAGGCTGTGCCGTGTTGTGTCGGCCAACCACAGGGCACTGCTCATCCCGGAGGTGAGAGCAACTCGCTCGTCCGGCTCACCGACTCTCTCACTCACCCGCTCTACTGCCGACCCTCTCACCAACACCCACCCATCCACTCGACCACCCACTCGCTCATTCATTCCCCTGCTTACCCACCCACCCACTCAGCCACTGACCTTCTCATGAGCTCATTCACTCACTGGCTTATTTACCCACTCACCCACCCATTTATTCACCCACCCACCCATTCATTCACCCACCCACCCATTCACCCACCCATTCATCCACTCACCCACCCACCCACCCATTCACCCACCCATTCACCCACCCACCCAACCCATTCACCCACCCACCCACCCCTTCACCCACCCACCCCTTCACCCACCCACCCACCCCTTCACACCACCCACCCACCCCTTCACCCACCCACCCACCCCTTCACCCACCCACCCACCCACCCCTTCACCCACCCACCCACCCACCCCTTCACCCACCCCTTCACCCACCCACCCACCCCTTCACCCACCCACCCACCCACCCCTTCACCCACCCACCCACCCCTTCACCCACCCACCCCTTCACCCACCCACCCACCCCTTCACCCAGCCCCCACTTCACCCACCCACCCCTCCACCCACCCACCCCTTCACCCACCCACCCACCCACCCCTTCCCTTCACCCACCCACCCACCCCTTCACCCACCCACCCACCCCTTCACCCACCCACCCACCCACCCCTTCACCCACCCACCCACCCACCCCTTCACCCACCCACCCACCCCTTCACCCACCCACCCACCCCTTCACCCACCCACCCCTTCACCCACCCCTTCACCCACCCCTTCACCCACCCACCCCTTCACCCACCCCTTCACCCACCCACCCCTTCACCCACCCCTTCACCCACCCCTTCACCCACCCCCCCCTTCACCCACCCACCCACCCACCCACCCCTTCACCCACCCACCCACCCCTTCACCCACCCACCCACCCCTTCACCCACCCACCCCTTCACCCACCCACCCCTTCACCCACCCACCCACCCCTCCACCCACCCACCCCTCCACCCACCCACCCCTTCACCCACCCCTTCACCCACCCCTTCACCCACCCACCCACCCCTTCACCCACCCACCCACCCCTTCACCCACCCACCCCTTCACCCACCCACCCACCCCTTCACCCACCCACCCACCCACCCACCCCTTCACCCACCCACCCACCCCTTCACCCACCCCTTCACCCACCCACCCACCCCTTCACCCACCCACCCACCCACCCCTTCACCCACCCACCCACCCACCCCTTCACCCACCCCTTCACCCACCCACCCACCCACCCCTTCACCCACCCACCCACCCACCCCTTCACCCACCCCTTCACCCACCCACCCACCCACCCCTTCACCCACCCCTTCACCCACCCACCCACCCCTTCACCCACCCCTTCACCCACCCCTTCACCCACCCACCCACCCCTTCACCCACCCCTTCACCCACCCACCCACCCCTTCACCCACCCCTTCACCCACCCACCCCTTCACCCACCCCTTCACCCACCCACCCACCCCTTCACCCACCCACCCACCCCTTCACCCACCCACCCACCCCTTCACCCACCCACCCACCCCTTCACCCACCCACCCACCCCTTCACCCACCCACCCACCCCTTCACCCACCCACCCACCCCTTCACCCACCCACCCACCCCTTCACCCACCCACCCACCCCTTCACCCACCCACCCACCCCTTCACCCACCCACCCACCCCTTCACCCACCCACCCACCCCTTCACCCACCCACCCACCCCTTCACCCACCCACCCACCCCTTCACCCACCCACCCCTTCACCCACCCCTTCACCCACCCACCCCTTCACCCACCCCTTCACCCACCCACCCCTTCACCCACCCCTTCACCCACCCACCCCTTCACCCACCCCTTCACCCACCCACCCCTTCACCCACCCCTTCACCCACCCACCCACCCACCCCTTCACCCACCCCTTCACCCACCCACCCACCCCTTCACCCACCCACCCCTTCACCCACCCACCCACCCCTTCACCCACCCACCCACCCCTTCACCCACCCCTTCACCCACCCCTTCACCCACCCACCCCTTCACCCACCCACCCACCCCTTCACCCACCCCTTCACCCACCCACCCCTTCACCCACCCCTTCACCCACCCACCCACCTACCCCTTCACCCACCCACCCACCCACCCCTTCACCCACCCCTTCACCCACCCCTTCACCCACCCACCCACCCCTTCACCCACCCCTTCACCCACCCACCCACCCCTTCACCCACCCCTTCACCCACCCACCCACCCCTTCACCCACCCCTTCACCCACCCACCCACCCCTTCACCCACCCACCCCTTCACCCACCCACCCACCCCTTCACTCACCCACCCCTTCACCCACCCACCCACCCCTTCACCCACCCACCCCTTCACCCACCCACCCACCCCTTCACCCACCCACCCACCCCTTCACCCACCCACCCCTTCACCCACCCACCCACCCCTTCGCCCACCCCTTCGCCCACCCCTTTGCCCACCCCTTCGCCCACCCCTTTGCCCACCCCTTCGCCCACCCCTTCGCCCACCCCTTCGCCCACCCCTTTGCCCACCCCTTCGCCCACCCCTTTGCCCACCCCTTTGCCCACCCCTTTGCCCACCCCTTTGCCCACCCCTTTGCCCACCCCTTTGCCCACCCCTTTGCCCACCCCTTTGCCCACCCCTTTGCCCACCCCTTCGCCCACCCCTTCGCCCACCCCTTCACCCACCCCTTCACCCACCCCTTCACCCACCCCTTCACCCACCCCTTCACCATTTCACCCACCCACCCCTTCGCCCACCCCTTCACCCACCCACCCCTTCGCCCACCCCCCCCTTCGCCCACCCCTTCACCCACCCACCCCTTCACCCGCCCACCCCTTCGCCCACCCCTTCACCCACCCCTTCACCCACCCACCCCTTCACCATTTCACCCACCCACCCATTTATCCACCAACCCATTCATCCACCCACTTACCGATTTACCAGCTCACCGGCTCACCCCTCCACGCGCACCTGCTCATCCACTTTCCTGCCTGCCTGCATGTTGCACAGAAACACCTCCCCACCCACCCGTCTCACTCGCATGTGGAAATTAGGGATATTGGAGGCCAAGATTTTTTTCCGCAATTATATTTTTCTCTAATTAAAAATGTCTGTGTGCTTGCGGCTGTCTGCGTGTGTGTATGTTACACTTGAGGTTACCATCGTGGCAAGAAAGGGTGTTTGTAAGGTCACCTTTTCCACCGCATACTTGTTCTGTCTTGGTTGTGTTTGTAACCATTGTGTTCTGGTAGTCCTTGCTACGTGGTTGAGGACATTCCTAGCATATGGAATTGTTCCCTGCGACTGTGATTTCACACTGTTAAATCTTACCCACGTGTTGATAGTTAATTGTTAAAGTGCAATGTATTGTCTTGGCGTGGTCTTGAATTGTTGTTGTTTTTGCTGTCTTGCCCACGCTTGCTTTTAATGTTGCCGAAACTGCAGGAATATATGTTCGAGTGCAATTGGTACTTCCATGTTTTATTTTACGTGTTTATTTATTTGTGACTTAACTTGTCTCTATCTTAGTGTTGTATACCACATTGTATTGTTTGAAACTTGCTGACCCGGCCTCTATTGAACATCTATGAAAAAGAGCTTCACAGCTCATCAGATCCCTCCAGGATAATAGAGATTCTGATGAAGAACGGCGAAGTCGTGCTACCGATACCCGTGAAATCACGATCCACATTTCTCCTTTGCTCAGTAGAAATTATATTCAAGAGATACATTAGATCGTAAAACATGAAATGCATAAAGCGCACATATATAAAAAAAATGTTTTTATTGTGATAAGAACACGAGCCCGGCACAATGCACCAATGGGTACGGGGAGAGGAGAGAGACAACATCAGCAGGGGGGGGGGGGGGGGGGGGGGGGGGGGGGGGGGGGGGCTATCGGCGTTGAGGACCACGCTTAGTGTGGGGGGTGATAGGCTCGGTGCCCCAACCTGTGGGAATGTCACGCGCACATATTCAACTTTTCGAAAGTCCATCCGGAGGAGACGCGCGAGGCTAAATTAAAGAGAGGGAAACGTCCATAATGCAGGTTTTTGTTTGGGTTGGATCGCGTAGATATATAAATGTGTCGTTAAACCCGCCGCCACCCGACACGGCCAACTATTAAGGTTTGTCAAGTAAACAGAACGTGGCCATTTCGTCACTAGAACAGCACACCGGTGTGTTGGAGAGCAAAGCCATGACATTCACAATCTGAGTACAACGTTTCGCCAGTAATCACAACCAGCTTCATCATCAGGCGACAGCCAGATTTGTGAAAAGTCTTGAAGATCCTGACCCAAGGTCGACAACACGTGACGGTGGTGTGCGCGGCGCGAGAGGAGCGACGTTTTGGGGGTTTCGGTCGGAGCAAACTGTCGGCGACTTCATCAGCCTCGGGGAAAAAAAAAACCGTAGTGGATTTCACTGGCGACCCCGACGTTAATAAAGGAGCTGATGACAGTCGAATGGGGGGGGGGGGGGTCGGGGGCTAACCACTGAAACGCAGCTCAGGAATTCATTATTGGTTGGAGTGCGACTTTTTTTTTTCTTCTCTTAATTATGTTTGTCAACCGCAAAGGTTTTAATGTTTGTCACTGCCATTTAATGAAAAAAAAAACGTTTAACAAATGTGTGTAACCTTTGATTGAAAGCTTTCGTGACTGCAGGGATTCGTATTCTTGGTTCTTTCGGTAAAGTCACCACGTAGAAGGGAAACAATAAAATAATAAAAATATAAAACAATACAATTCTCACGACGTTTCGACTGCAACACAAGCAATCATCATCAGGTGTGAAAACCACAATTGTATTGTTTTATATATATTTTTTTGATTGTTTCCCTTCTACGTAACTTTACCGAAAGAACCAAGAATATGTGTGTAACCTGCCAAGAGACATGTCCTGGATAACTTGTCAATTGGAGTAGCGTTAATGTTTTGGCCAACTCCCACTGACCAACTTGGTTGACGTATGGTCAAAGAACCCCTACAACCCTCATGGGGTGGGGAAGGCCCTCTTGAGTGCAGTAACATGACAAAAGGGCTGTACGTGTATATGCACAGCATATTGGTCGGTTTGTTTCAACATGGTGTCTGCAATACACATTTTAAATCAATTATCATGTGAACCACCTGACAATGTGAACTCAACAGAGTTGGAGCACACCACAGTGGAGAGTTTAAGAGTGGTCTTTGAGTGTGCGTGTGCCATGTTGATAGCTGCATGCTAACACAGCAGTGGAATTGTAACTGTCCTTTGCTGTGGTGTGGTGCGCGCGTGCGTGTGGTAGGCAGGGAAGCGGCTACGAGCCCGGACACCCGGGTTCGATTCCCACTCACGGCCAACGCCTGTAACGATGATCTGAACCGGTTCTAGGCCTCCCCTGGGTCGACTCTGCCTCAAATGAGTACCTGGAGCGGTGTGCAAACATCGCCACTGGGGAGACAAAGGCGACCGGGCATGGTGCTGGCCACCCACCCCCTCGTGTGCTCTTCTGGCTTTCGGAGGTGCTCGCTTGTAGCACTTGCCCCAACAGTCTGTTCAGGCTATAATGGGGGATCTTTGTCTTTGTTGATGCGTGTGGAGCGGTGGCACAGTGGTTGTTACCACACAGCTTTACAAACCCGGTGACCTCTGAGTTCAATTTCTGCTCGCAGCCAACATCGGTAACGAATATCCGAACTAGTCTTGGGTCTTCCCAAGGTTGACTCAGCCTTAAATGAGTGCCTGGTGCATAAACATTAGCACTGGGGGAGACAAAGGGGCACCGGGTGTGGTGCTGGTCACCCACCCACTTGTGTGCCGTGCCAGCCTGATTCAGTGTTTGTAAACAGCACATGCACTAACAGTCTGTTGAAGGTTAACCGGGGGATCCGTGTGTGTTGTGATTTGTGTGGGGGCGTGCAGGTTTATTTAAAGGAGGCTCCCTGGCCATCTGCTCAAGCTGAAGTCCGCACCATCAGTGCCTACAAGGTACAAGACAATCTTCACCTCACTCCCATGTGTGTGTCGTGTTCCCAATGTGAATAACAGGCAGAATCGCCCACACCTTACACGTTTTTGGACCATGCACGTTGTCCCCATCTCATGGTTAACACATGACATCCTATAATTAACGCAGTAAAACATATGAATGTACGTGACATTTAACAGCACGGCTGAATGTTATTGCGATGTTACATTAGGCAGCATTTTTTTCAATCCACTGCTGGATGATGGCCTCCCAATGCCATGTGGGTTGACTGGCCACATAGCACATCTCCGCCACGCGTGGGGCTCGCTCATCCAAAGCGGTATCCAGGCCAAATCCCTGCTTCGCTTCTGAGATCTGCTGTGGTGGGGCAGATTCCAGGTGGTTTGTTCATAGGCAGTTGTAATATTTAAACAGCTGTCATGATGGGTCACTTTCATCGCTACAACACCATCACAGCAGAACTGATGACGTTGGTCTCACCCAGCAGTGGCCAATAACGTGGATCGCAAAACACCTTTTGTGGATCGCGGGACAAATCGGAATTCTTGCGTAAGCATAAGAATCCATGCATGAAAATAATATATTTTTTCCAATATATGGCGCTGGTACTTTATTTACTGGCAGGCGTGGTAGCGAGATGTTAACTCCCTCGCCTGGTATGCAGGAAGTCGTGGGTTTGATCTCGACCCTGAAACCTTGTACATTTGGAGTTTGCATGTTCTCCCCATGGTCGCTTTGATTTTAATCTGGGTCTTCCGCTTTTTCCCCTCCACATTTAGAATCAACATCCGTTTAGAGTATTTGGCTGCTACAAATTTCGAGTTGACGAGCCACTTCGTTGAGCTATCATTTGTGGCCAGGTCGCTTCAGAAAAAGCTATATAGCTCGGTGGGCCTTACGTGGTCCAATAAACATTGTACAAGGTAAAAATATACTCTGTCCACTATTGTTAGTCAAAGCGGTCTGGTGAATCGTGGAGCCCATTAGGATCCACCAGACTGGAGCACAGTGCAAGATGTATCGGCCACCGATTGGTCTAACCCCAAGACGGGTCCTGAGCAGCGAGTGTGTTGATAAGAGACACGACAGGAAGCATCAGCTAAATGCAGTGGCATAAACAGAGCACACACTAAGCTCTTAATAGAGACAAAGAGCATCCATTTCGCCTTACAGACTGGTTGGGCAAGTGCTGCTAGTGGCCGCCGAATAAGGCTGGCAGGGTCTTCATAGGCGCTCACTGTCAAGTGCTGGTTCACCCATGCCTGGTTGCCGCTGCCCTTGCTAATCGTAGCTCTGAATCACGCACTAGGTCATGTGACGCTGCATCGGTTCTTTCGCTCCTGGTAGTCCCATCAAATTGCACTTCGGTAAAAATCGGTTATTTAACCATGCATGCAAAATGTACACTAGTTTTATGTTATTGTTACATTTAGGCGAAGGGAGTGTACAAAATGTATACGAACGAAACGAATAATAAGAAAGTATACAAACTGGACAGTCAAGGTTATAACAGAAGCACATTGTTACTGCAACCGATTTTTTATTTCCAGTTGGTGTAACGGAGATTCAGTCCGGGTTCCGACACCAATTGCCATTGGTGCTGTCATGTTTATAGAATATGGCCGACTCTCTATTGGAAGGATTGGCAATGGGAGGTGGGATCGGTGGCCCAGATTAAACAAAAACATGGACAATGCAATACTTGTCTATTTAGCAACACAAACATATGCATTGTTTGACCCCATAGAATGGGGATAAAGACTTGCCAAGGTGTTTACGGTCACTTTGGCATGGAGTCGCTCGCCCCACGACAAGTGAAGAGCCGCTGATAATGAAACCGGCTTGCAAGTGAAGCTGTTTCTTTATTTGCCAAAAGTGAACGTGAAAGCCGAGATAATCGGTCCACGAATGACCGAAGGTTATAACTTTTCTTTGTCTCCCGCCTGCATTGTCCCCTCCCAAGACCCCCAGAGACAAGGTGCAGTGCATCTTGCGCACGTGCTCGACCATCATGAACCTGCTGAGTCTCGCGAACGAAGACTCGGTGCCGGGAGCAGACGACTTCGTCCCGGTGTTGGTCTACGTCGTCATCAAGGTGGCAATGCTTCCCCACTCCGTGTCGCTCTCTCCCTGCCCCACCATTCAGAGGGGCCGCCGCTGTGGCGAGATGTTAACTACCTCACCTGGTACGCAGGAGGTCGTGGGTTCGAGCCTGACCCTGACGATGCCTGCTTTTGTATATTTGGAGTTTGACATTTTCTCTCTCCACGAGGTCGCATGGATTTGTCCCCGGGTCCTCCGACTTTTCCCTCCACATTTAGAAACAACGTCACGCGTTTAAGAGTATTTGGCTGCTATAAATCTCCACATGAGAAGACACTTTATTGACCTATCATTTGTGGCCAGGTCGCTTCTGAAAACGAGCTATATAGCTCCATGGGTCCCCTACCTGCTAAATAAAAAAATAGGTTATTTTAAATATAGTTTAGTTTGAGTTTAGTCAGTCCCAACCACCGCGACAACGTAACGTCGCTGATTCCCCGTCTCACCGCCACTCTCGCTAAATCCATAAGGTGCAAGCTTGACGGTGATGCGTACAATTATGAATATTATTACCCTGAATGTTTACCCGGGAAAGCCTCGCCGAGTCTCAAGACTCTCTTCCAGGAGGGTCCTGCCAAGTTTTCACAGTAGTCGGCGGTGCAGCTATGTCTAATCGCAATTGAGTGATCTGTGGGTAAATTTTCAGCACTAATTACGTTTGCCAATACGATTACGTTATGTTTTTTTTTATATCTTTTTATGTAAACGTGAGAAGAAAAAAAAACACTCCTGTTCTTTCAAGCCTCACCCGTAAGAAGTTTGTACAATCGTTGACAATGGCTTCTATTTTAAACCGCATATTGCCGTAAACAAAAATCTCGAGACAGAATGCGAAGGCAAAAGTCAACGGTCGCTTGCACCTTAAGCAAAAGGAAAAAGCTTGCAGAGGAACCATGAAATTCCAGAGGCAATCAGGCATAGTGTCAACAGGTGGCTTTGTGCACCGTGTAAACATAAACACCGGGGAGACAAAGGCAGCCTGGCATGGTGTAAGGCCGCTTCCACTCTCCCACTCGCCCGGCCGCCCCCCACGCCCCCACTTCTGCAGTGCCGCCCTTCTATAGGTGCTCGCTAACAGCACTTGTCCCAAACAGCGCGTGAATGATAATGGCTATACGGGGTGGGTGGGGGGGGGAATCGTTTGCCTTTATGCACAGGCCAATCCACCGTGCATGCTGTCCACGGTGCAGTACATCAACAACTTCTACGAGAAGCGACTGAGCGGGGAGGAGCAGTACTGGTGGATGCAGTTCACCGCCGCCATCGAGTTCATCAAGACCATAGACGACCGCAAGTGAAGTCCATCCGTGGTGGAAATCGACGATCCGTTAAAACGCATGTGTCGTTTCTAGAGCCGAGAAAAAAAAGCCTAAATAGTTTACGCAGATGTCGAGTCGAGGAGAGGCGTGTAAAAAAAAAAATTGCTTTTGTACATAGCTGGTTTTTGTCTGCAGCATCACTCTTCTCGAGTCCCGCCCCAACTTTTTCAATCTCAATGGGACTCAAGTATGTAGAACTTGTACATATATACGAAGCGTAACGTCCTTCGGAAGTACTTGATTTGTCGGGCGCCCGTCATCTTTGGGGGGGTGGGGGTCGGATGCGCAGCGGTTTGTTTGCAGGCATTGAATCCCCGGCCACGTCACAGACTTTTATTTTTAACTTGTACATAGGACACATTAAAAATCAGGAGTCGTTAGATATTTACATGTGACTCTTATGTGTGCGTTCAATCATCTGCTTCCTTCAATCTTGAGTTTAGTTTTCGAATTTCCAGAACCTTTTCCGACCGACTTCAATTTGAAGTTTTGATTGTCGGATTTTGAAATGTTCCATCGGACTGTTGCAGGAGTCTAATTCTTACACTCCGCCACACATGTTTACTTGCAGCCAATACCAACTCGTCATTTTGGTAATGAGCCTTTTACACAAAAAACCTCCACTTACCGACAAGAAAAGCCATTTCTAAGCCATTTCCTTTTTCACGATACAAACTGCGGGGAATTGTACCCACAATATCATCGTGGTGTGTAAGCTGAGTTTTCGTCAATGTCCCATGGAGCTTGTGCATGGCATCAGGTGAGCAAAATATAACATACATCACTCGGTACAGATGCGTCTACCGTTGGCACCGGTTTCGTTTTCGAACGTAACAGCAGCGCCGCGATACTTGTGCGTTGTTGAAATGGCGAAGGTCGCATGGTGAATCCGGTGCAGATCTCGCTGTGTTTCACCACCGTGCGGCGTAGCCGAGTTGGCGTTGGGCCGCCATGGTGTGCGAGGAATGAAATGGGGGACCCCTCCGTCCACTTTCCCCACTCTGAACCCCGGCGCAAAGTAGCCACCTCCGCCCCGCTATCGAGGGCGTGGTCTCGCACGCCCGCAACCCGCGACAGCGACGCCGCTGTTTCACTGCCCGCTGCGTTTGGACCCCTCGTGTTCGTCCGCCCTCCGCAGGCTTCACGGCCGCCCTTCTCTACCTCTGCCCTTGCCTCTGGCCCACTTCCGGTGCTCTACTGGGTTGTCGATTTTGTCCGAGCGTCGTACCAGCTGCAGGCAGCGTGACGCCTAAGGGAGTTTTGGCAGCGGAGGTGCAGAATAAAGTTTACGTGTGTGCGCATGCCCGTCGTTTACCAATACGTGTGCGGAGTATCGGAAGCGCTGGCTCAAAACTTCTCTTTCCCCACCCCCCCTTCCCCCTCGTGCATGTTTGTGGTGAAGTCCTGTGTGCGGTCGTCCTGTGTGCGGTCGTGCAAGGAGTGCTCCCTGGGATCAGACGGGTGCTTTTGAGAAACACTTGCAAAGAGAACGGCCTGGAGCTGTGCCACTAAACATGTGCCGTATTAATTTCCCTTCAGCGTGGGTGTTAAAACCACCAACCCAGATTCCTTAGGAGGTCACCTTGTGTACCGACTAGTCCTGTTCGAATGACTGTGCGTCGCCGATGCCTGATTTAGGCCAACGTGTTTTTTTGTGGGCTTCATTTTTTTATCGATGAAATTTGCTACTCGCGACCGCTGTCCTTAAAACGGTCCAGGGTTTTGAAGTCTTGACAACACCAGGGGTGAAGAATGCTACACCTAAACGTCAAGCTGTGCGACGATTGCTTTTCAAATTTGGTGTCCAAGATCGGCTTCTCAAAGTTGCTTCCACCATTCCACCCGTGCCCACTAATGTACAATGAACGGAAGCCCCACTCTGCACCGCGTGTTTTGGTCTATAAGGCCACGAGGATAGCGATAAGTGTTGTGAAGTATTCTCAAGATAGTGGGTGCTTATTGTAGCTGTTGCCTTAACCCCCCTCGTAGCCTGTGTGGGACGTCGCCACAACGGCGCTGGATTTATAGACACCTTTGGAAAGGAAGGAGGAAGGCCCCCTTTAATAGAGCGTGTGCAGCAGAGCGAGATGGGACGCAGTGTGCAGAGCCACGTTTTTACCTGCACAACAATCGTCATAACAACTCGTCTATTGAAATAGTATTTAGCCAAAACAAACCAAGCATATTTACCTGAATAAGTAGGCGCCAAATGTTTTGCCTGCTTACGCCACAGTAGTTAAATGTAATCGCCGTGCACAATTATAATTGGAGCTTGGTGGAGAATCAAATCAAAGTGTTGGAATTGGCGCAATTTGGGTTTTAACGGTCACTTCGGCATGCGCTCTGAGCAGACGTTTCCAGCCTCTCCAGCCATGGCCACTGAAAATGGGCCGAGCGAAGGAGGCGCATTCAGCCGACTCTGCTTGAGGCCCCCGATCACTTTGGAGTGTCGTTTGTGGGCTTTAGTTTAAGCTTAAACGGTGTGTGCGCGTGTGTCTACGCTGTACGTTTTTTGTGCGTACGTATGAGTGTATGTACATGCATGCGTACAGCTTTGTGTGTGTGTATGTATGTATACACACACGGGCGGTATACTGAATGTATACACATGTGTTTCTTCTAAGGTGTAAATTTGACATGTGCTTGTCCCCCAGAGTAAGTTGAGGGCTTTGAGAGTGCCCAGTGGACTTGGGTAAGATGGGTTTTCACTTGATCACAGGAGGTGATGTGTGTGTGTGTATATATATGTGGTGCTTGGGGATTCTCGGGCTACTGTGAGCATTAGTTAAAATACGGGCAAGCCCCGCTCGGCGTTGGCTGGTTTAAGTCGATTCTACTTGAACCGTAGGTGCCTCTGCTGCATCCTTTTGAGTTTGCTCCGTCGCTGCCTTATGCACGTGGCCACGCGTGAACCCAGCTTAAGAGAGCAATGTTTAGTTGTCGACAGTGTTGCTTGCCAAATCTTAGCCAGTGTACCGCTCCCTTATGGGTTTGCACTGGCACGGAATCACCTTTTCCAGATCCATAAGGGCGTGTGTAATGCTTACTGGAGTAAGCCAAAATTAAGATTGTTGAAATTGAGAAATGCATTAACACAACGACGAAGGGATGCAATGCAGGAAATATGCATTTGTATGAATTTCCAGGTGATCGCTGGTAAATCCATGATCTGTATTTGTTGGTTTGAGGAAAATCAGACCTGTAACTCATTATACCTACAGTTTTGTCGCCGTGATGACGGATGACAAAAGCTTCTGCGAAGATAATTAATAAAGCATATATTGGACGCGAACGTGTATGACAGGCCGCAAGATTCATTCGACACATCCAAACACCAACCAAATCGCGTAAACAAAAATAAACGCGTCAATCCCAATGCCGAAGAACTGCGGGATCAAGGTAGGAGAGACGTGCGAGTGTGGGCATTAGGAAATGCTCCGGGTTTGGCGCTCCCCCCCCCCCCCGTGTGTCGTGTGCGCGTGTGACCAAGTCCCGGCCTCTATTGCACAGTAAGGCCACGTGGAGTTGTTTGTGCTTTGCTGCCGAGGTAGAACGCGCACTGTGTCGAGGAGGTTTCGCGTCCACCCGTGCGGCGGTTAGTCGGCGTGGGTGGCGAGGGGCGAGAGTTTGATGTGCACTTGAATGGGACGCGGTTACGCACAGTCGATGTAAGTCGTTTCAGATTCGTTGAAAACGGTGAATTCCTGTTTTATGTTAGCGCCTGTAATTAATCACACGTCAAAGTATACAACATGGAATCGCATATATAACAGTCATGTGTGTTTGTGTTTTTTTTAGTATGATCGAAAGGTGTCTGTGTTTTTAAATATCTGTACAATGTTGGTCATCTTACCTGGCAGTTTCACCCCACTCGTAGACGATCCACATCCCTGCTCCTCTTTGCTCACTCCTGTGCGTTGCCATCTCCATGTCTACTCCCACATCCCTTCGTATGTTTAACACTTAGTAGGCTTCCACGACCAATAATCATAATAAAGGTTTTTGGGTTAGATAGCGTTATTTATAAATTTGTCGTAACCCTCCACCACCCGACACGGCCAATCAGTAAAAAATGTGTCACGTTGACAAAAGACAAATAGTTCACTACTTTAGCCCACCGGTGTGTTGAGTGAATCAACATCATTTAAAATTTGAGTACGACGTTTCGCTGGTAATTACATCCAGCTTCATCGGGCAATTTGCCAGAATGGTGAGGCTCTCTTGCTCCCGGTCTTACCACTTGGATCCACCTCATCCTAGGCTTGCCTCTCTGTCTCCACCCTGGTGCGTCCTGCATAAACCATCGTCACTCGACCTCCGGTCGTCATCCTCGCAGCGGCTTTTGGCTGCTCGCCATCGAACAAAGACGGCGGCCACCGCATCGCGCGGCGCTTTCAGATGCGCTTCTGCGGCCGTCTGGAACGCCCTTCCGATTATTCAGAAGCTACTGGGAGCCTATGCACTTTTTTTATAACCAGATTGGAAAAAATTGCACCTCTAATGAGTGTGGTTAGCGATGTGCATGCGAAAGAAGTTCCACGTAGATCACGGTTGAGGTGGGTCGTTCAGGTGGATCTCCTTCAGGTGCACAGAGAAACACCTGTTCAACAAGCAACGTGGTCTTGCCCTGCAGGAAGCGGTGGAGGAAGTAAGTCTTTGACAACCCATCTGCAGAACCCGGACCTAGGAGCCAAAGCAGCGTTGCACCCGTGTCGTGTTTGCATGCGCAATCACCGTGCATAAAGCAGGCGGCCATGGGGCTACATTATCAGCAGAGGGCAGGGCAGCAAAATGCATTGTTGCACTGCACTATGCTCCCGAGGCTGAGATACCACACGCACATTTCTTGTGTTATCAAGTACGGCGGAATAACCCCCCCACCCGCTATACGCATTGGTTCTTTTCCGGTAAAATAACATGTAGAAGTAAAATTAAAATAGATCACGACGTTATTTCTACACACGTGACTTTACCGAAAGAACCAATGAGTATAGTCATTCCTGCAGTCACGAAAGCTTCAATCCGAGATTAACCCCCCCCCCCCCCCCCCCCGCTACTCGTGGCCAGTGCGGGGAGTCACCTACAGAATTAGATTGGCAAACGTTCTGCCCCATGTTTATTTCCAAATTGATGGTGATCCACTTCACTGAGCTATCTTTTGTGATAAGCCGGGCCGCTTCTGAACAAGAGCTAGATGTAGCTGAGTGTGCCTTGCCTGGTGAAATACATAGTTTATCCATAAGAGGGGTTTTTTTGTTTGTTGTTAGATCGCGTAAATAAATAAATGTGCCGTTAATCCCGACAGTCAATTAGTGAGGTTTGTCACGTTAACACAACATGACAATTAGTTACTAGTTAAGCACACCGTTGTGTTGGAGATGAAACCCACAATCAATAATTGTCGTACTCTGGGTCTTGCCATGTTTTGTTTACGTGACAAACCTTACACATTGGCTGTCTGGTGGTGGTGGTGGTGGGTTTACGCGATCTCACCAAAAGAAAAAAAACCTTATGGATAATATTGGTCGCGAAAGCCTGCGACGTGTTAAACAAACAGTTTAGTTTACATACGCCGGATACGCATGCCTTTGTATGCAATGTCTACGTCCATCATCCGCCCAACGGTAACAACGCAGAGCGACTCGCTGCGTGGCACTGGACACGAGGCAGGGACTGCACCGAGGATGAACGCGGCGCAGGGCTCCCACAGGGCGACACCTGCCCACAATGAAGCCCTCCCTCCCTACATCTTCATCTTCCGCCTCTTCATGCCTTCTTGTTGCGCGGCTTGACCCCCGACCCGCGCCCCCCACCTCCCCCCCCCCACCTCATTTCTCATCTTCGTCCATCGGCAATCATCGGCTCGCGTTGCCCAGGCGGCCCGGCCAAACCGCATTTCCCAGGTGTGGAGTTACTAATTACGGCAGGTGTCTTGAAGCCGCATCCTCCCCCTCTTCGAGAGCCGCGCAACCTCGTGTCAACCAGGGCACGCTGCCGAACACACCCCCCCGCCCGCCCGCCCCCCATTAACATTCTCAAGCTGTGTGGATTAAAGAACATACGCAACCTCAGACTCTTCAAGAACACTTATCTTTGGCAGGGCACCATGGCCGGAAGGGTTGATGGGGCACCCGTCTCTGTGCCACATCTTGTGAACTCCGGTCGGATTATTTTTTTTTCCCCAAACATCACGGGTGAAGTTACCATTGTTAAAATAAAATAAAAATAATTCGGCTGAGTGTCCGGCGACTGTGCTCACGCCGAATCGACGGTGGGGCGTAATAACGACTCGACGACCAATTCTCAAAAATATGGAGGAGGCATCGTAGGGATGCGCTCTGGACGTCCAGAAAAATAAAAAAAAATTAACCACAACAATGCGCTCTGGACGTCCAGAAAAATAAAAAAAAACCCAACTCATTCGAAATCCAAACGTCGCACCACCTCGCTTTGACATTCCTCGAAGACACTGCCCCTAATCGTCGACCACGTCAACAGGCCGATGCGCACAGCTCCTTCGTGAGTTGAACACGTCAAGACGCGTGCCAGAGTGCCATTGTGGCCTTGCAACACAAACTATGGACCGCACAGTAAATCTTGTTCATGTTTTTGTTTGTTGTGGTTGCACCCGATGTAAGAGCCGCACGGCTCACAGGAATATACCTAATAAATGAACTGAACCGTGGTCTGTGTTTGTTCAATGGAGGAGGAACAAGAGAAACGACACGAACTCTCTCCTGAAGCCATCTTGTGGTGGCCAGAAGACCTCGGACATTGGACTACAGCTCCTGGACATAGAAACTAAACTTTTCGTTTGACCTGCTAAGGTCCACTGAGCTATAGAGCTCTTTTTTTTAGGAGCGACCTGGCCACAAATGATGGGTCAACAAAGTGGCTTATGTGGAAATGTTATAGCAGCCCAACGGTAATAACGCAGAGCAGCCAAATACTCTAAAACACCTTTATTCTAAACGCGGAGGGGGAAGAACCGGAGCACCCGGAGAAAAATCCACGCGATCACGTGGAGAGAGAACACGCCAACTCCAAATATACAGAAGGCGTCAGGGTCGGGATCAAACCCACGACTTCCTGCACACCAGGCGAGGTAATTAACACATCGCCACCCACCGTGGCGCTTGCCATACGCTCGAATGGAATTGAGGCCCTCCGCTACGCCTGACGCAATCGTCCTGGTTCCATCGCCTCCATGTTGCCGTCGACATCGGCGGCCGCGCGAAGAGAATCATCGGCGAGCGCGAGCCGCCGCGGTGGGGTCGGTCGTGCTGCGGCGTTCCCAGTAACAAACAAACAAAAATCGTCTTGCGTGTGGAAGAGCGGAGAGACGCTGGGTGGCGCTTGGGCATCGCTGGACGGTGACGCGTGGCCCCGACGTCACAACGACGTCACAACGGCAACGACTCGCGGTGGTTCTCAACCACGGGAGGGGCGGGGCGGGGCGGGGGGCTACGTGGGGACCCATAGAGTTACGTGGCGAGGTGATTTATAAATGCGTGAAGTTATGTCGTGCATGAGAGTCGTCGGTGAGTGATCGCGTACCGATAACATTTGAATCTACGTGGTAAGTTCGAATGGCGTAACAGACCTTTCGAAACTCATTGATCGTATAAAGCAATGTTGGTTAACAAGAGTAACCCACGCGGTCAAAGTGCGTCAAGTCGTCATTACAATAATAACAAGAACGACTATTTTCCAGAAGGGGCCCTGCATTTGCCCAATACCAGTAACATTGCTTGTTTCTAGCTGAGAAATCCGAGGTTTGGAGCGTATGGATGTTTGATATCTTCTCCTTACAATAATAGAAAGCCACTGGAGAAGTGTACTTTTAAACCCAGATTGAAAACTCATTTCTTTAAAACTGCTTTTGTGTGTGTGTGTGTGTTTTTTACTTACCCCCTGCTCCTCTGATTAGCATGGTCGACTACGTACGGTGCTGATGCACGCCGATTGTATAAACGAGTATGAACGCCTTTCTCTTCGCCACGCGGATACGATCCTTGTTATTTTTTTCAAATTGTTAACTTCATCCCAATCTGCCTGCCCTTGGGGGCCGTCCATAAATGACGTCACGCACCTCGGCGGGGGGGGGAGGGGGTCAGACATTTGTGACGGTGTGTGACGAGGGGGGGGAGGGGGGGTTGAGAAATGTGACGTCACATCAAAATGCGCAACTTTAAATAAATATAAACAACACGTTCTACTTCGTTCAATAGAATTGTTAGAACACTAATTTTGATTAATTTTCATGATTAACTATTTGAGTATTTAAATTTACTAAGGTCACCTTTTATGTATTCCATGAAGGAGCAATTTGCTTCTCCATGGGAGAATGGAGAAGCATACATGGTGTATTTTTTAAAATTATTGTTATTAAACATTTTTATTTTAATGATTCTACCAGGGCTTTTCATTCTGTGGAATGAATATGATTGTTATAATTGTACTCTCCATTTTGCTTCGTTCTACTACAAAGTTTAAAGTATTTTTAATAGTTATAATTACTATTAATATTTTATTATTATAAGGTAATTTCAATATATTCTGAACATCTGCAGTTTTAGTTAGACGTTGAATATTTTCAAGTGAATTGTATGCTAAATTTCAGCTTTCCAACGCCTCCTTTAAATTACGTGTTTTCTCCTACAACATCAGAGTGCAGCGCCACATTAAATACGCACTACAATGACAATAGTTTAAAGCGATTTGAAGCATGTTTTATATATTTTTTTTTGGGGGGGGGGGGAGCAGAGCTTT